ATATCCCTATCAGTTACATGATTTAGAGTGAGTATTTAACGCCTGCTCTTTTAAGGCAATGGTTGATAAATTGAATGGGTATTAGATTATTTTTGAGAATTTTAATAAGGAGCAAAATTTCGCGTTGTAAATCTATTGTATCTGTGCCATATAATTTTAATTCGTTGTATTTGATTAATTATAGTATTGTTAATTACTTTTTTGGATATGTTGGAGTTCCAATTTATTAATTTGTTAGTACTTGAAATTGAAGTTTCTTGTTTTGTCAAAAAGTAAAATTTTTTTGTAGTTAATGATTTGAAGATCTAGAAAGTCTATGCTATTTTGTGAATTATTAGTTTTATTAAGTGTAAGACAATTCGGATAAATCTCGGAGTGTTCAATTTTATCAAAATTATTAATTGTAATAAGGTCATCAATATATCTGTAGGTGTGTTTGTAGTAATTTAAATCTTGTAGTTGTAGATTTTTTTGGAAGTTAAATTCTTTGACAAATAAAAAGATATTACAGATCGAGGTGCTGGAATGTAAGCCCATTGGCAATCCTCTGACTTGTTTAAAAATTTGATTTTGAAACTTGATGTAGTTATGAAAAAGTGTGCATTTTAGGTAGGTTTCCCATTTGTCAAGAGTCATGATATTGAGCATATCAGGGAAGAGTTTAGTTAGATCAAGTAGACTGGTATAGATTTCTTCTAGAGGAAGTGAGGTATATAAGTTTTCAAAGTCATAGCAATTAATGTTTTGGATGTTAATGGTTTGAATGGTATTAATGACAGGAGTGTTATTATGAATGATCCAGGATTGTTATGATTAGTGTTACAATCATTGAAAATAAATTTACAGATTTTATTAAGTTGAATTGAAAAATAATAGTCTACATTTTTCTTGTAATTTATTAGTTCCATTAGCAATAAATCTGAATTTTAATTGTGTTTTATGGAATTTGGGAATCGCATAAAGATTAGTAAATCTGTTGTAGTTTGCATTGAAAGTAATATTGAGTTTCTTATGAAAAGTTTTAAACCTGTTTATTATAGATGTTTCTGTAAGGTTGGCTAATTGATAAGTAGTGCGTTGAGAGTTCTTATAAATTTTATAATGTTTAATATCTAAGTTGCTTTATCTTTTTTGAATAGAAAACTGTTAAGAAATTTTACTTTATGTCAATGGCAAAAAAAACTACATATCCAGTTGCATTTAAAGTATGGCAGAAAGATAAGAAGATTGGTTTTTGTGAACAGATTATGTGTTCATAAGTTACTAATCAGTGATATTGCTTTCAGAATAGCTCGTGGAGATGCTTGTGCTTACAGAGGGTCATCCTAAATTTGGTGCATGCATTACTCAAGTGGAATAAGTTTAGACTTGTTTGTTCCTGTCTTGTGTTCAAACTTCATTTTGGAAATTGTGGAAATCATCAAACGATTGATGTAATATTTTATTATGAAAGAGACTGGCTTTATATCTTAATCTAACTGTTTGAAAGTTGGTATTGTATTTTAAGTGTGCTTTGAACTTCATCTCTGGATTGGTACATTTCCACCCTTTTTATTATTATTATATTTATTATTATTATAAAAATTGTTTATTCATATTAATCATCCTACCTCATGTTGGCGCATTTAATCAGCTGGTTTTGCACTAAATCTCACTCACCAAATGATATTCTGCAGTGTATTATAAAATAAAATGAAAGAAAAACTAGATATTTAGCTCTCAATACACAAGAAACTTAAATGAAATTTTGAATTTAATTTTAAAAAAAAAAAAAAAAAAAAAAAAAATTTGACTGCCTAGAATAGATAGGTCACAGAATCTAGCAGCAATTCTTATTTTATGTATAGTAGATGTCTTATATATTCAGAAAATAAATTGATTTTTTTTTTTAAAATCATGAAAAATTTTGCATGTGAAAGTATGCAGTTGAAACACATTGTGGTTTCTATTTAACACATTAGGTGGTAGTGAAATTAGTAGTTGAGATAACACCTGCTCTTAATTTCATCCTATTTATACTGAATATTTGTGGTAAGAAAATATGACTGCTGTGCTCTAAATTTCATTTTTAATCAGAGTTTTCTATTCACTTTGTGGCTTACTTTATTATTTAATGTGATGTATTTTTCAAAGTTAGATAAATTTATAAGATAAATTTTTAAAATTTTGCAGCATCAAATAATGATGGAATCTTGTTGCTATTTATTGTCAAACATGGCTGATGTTGTTGGTGCTTTACGTTTTCAAAATGACAAGTAAGTGTTTACTTTCTTTTAATAAATTGTGTATTCTTTTTCCTTACATAATGTTTAATCAATGTCTTCATGTAAAATAATATTTCTTTTGTAATTAATTTTTATGTAATTTTCCTGAACATTCGGCGTATTTTTAATATATTTACTAAAATATTTGAAAATTTTAAGTATATAGATTAAAATTTAAAGATATGAATTAGCATAAAAACGATGTGTAATTCTGTTAGAATTGCTGAAAATCGAATCAGGGACGCTTTCCCCCTTGGATAGGAGCTGCATATCCTGGATGATCTGACGGGCGGAGATACGGTCCTGACGAAGAAGACACGCCGGTAGAACGGTAAGAAGTGTAGTTTAAAACAAAGACATCATAAAATCATTAATCAATTTGGTATTTAGAATATATAAGGACCTTCCATTTTTCTGAATCTCCCTTTCTTGGTAGATTACAGAATCTTACAATTTTAATTTTTTAGCCTTCTTAAGTAAAAGTTCCCAGCAATAAAAAATTATTAGATAATTAGTTTTTATGTATGCAAATTGAAACCTGACTTTTAGTTATTTAGCATTTTTTTTAATTTTATTATTAGGTTATTATTATTATTATAAATTTATTTGACTAGTCTGTACATTAATATACTGTAATATTATAGAAATTTTATAAAATTCAACCAATGTCATTATTAATTTGCTTAAAACTGTTTTAATTCAATATATATACAGTACTTAGTTTATCCATACAATATTATACAGGGTGTTTCATAGATCGTGGGACAAACTTGAAGGGTTTGAGCGTACTAAACATGCTTTTTTTATGAATGCAGGGTCTAAGTGAGGTTAAGGCCGGAGCAACAAACGACACAAGAGGAAAATGTGTTTAGTACAAATCACGCAAAGTGCTTCTTTGTAGCATACAGTTAAATAAATGTTCAAAATTGCGACAGCAGCATTAAATAATATGCTTGGTATGTCTCAGAAGGGATGATTAACATTTTGAAAACGACGCATTTTCGCGCCAATGCAGCTGCAAGGATATCGTCAACGACGTCCTCCATGAGTCAACGGAGCTCGTAAATAAGGCTCTTCAATGACCCCCATTAAAAAAATCCCCAATCATCGGCCCGAATGTCCCATCCAAGTAATTGCTAACCCACACAATGTTATGATCTGTGTACATCATGGATACCACATGTGATCAGACGACAGAGGAACATCCTGCATGCATTCCCGAGCACCTCTTGCAGAAAATACGATAAGATAAGCCCTTTTACGTGCAGATAGAGGGATGACCTATGAGGTAGTCCTTAACAATACCTGCACACGACATTCACGGAAGCGGTTGGAATTCAGTGGACGGTGGCCGTGTGGATTTATGAGTTGCCCACATTGAGTTGTGGCTGTTGAGATGCCGTCCTTTGAGAAAGTGCCTCGTCGTAATAGACATCCGAGGTGCGCCGCACACTGCTGCAAGAACCAATACAGAAATGAATCAAAAGGGTATTGCTCTTGCAAGCTTGAACTCGCGCAAGTATGGGTGCAAACCATTTTCATGCAATACTCTCCAAACGGTGGAATGACTTAGCTGCAGACGACGTGCAATAGCTCTTGTACTTGTCTGAGATGATTCATGCACAATGTTCAAAATGCATTCTTCAATGTGAGGCTGTTGTGCACTTCTTCCACTCCTAGTGTCAGAGGTGGCTTCAAATGACCCTTTTTTCACGCAGAGACCGATGCAACCTCTCGAACATTGTGTGCTTCGGCATTCGCCTGTTCAGAAATTGTTCCTGGCACAACGGTAGTGCTGCTTTGCCATTCCCATTAGCAGCACCATACATGAGATGCATTTCAGCTTTTTCCCCGTGAGTAAACTCGCCCATCACGCTCGACATCAGAGTTGCGAATGATCCTCTGATGCATCGGATCATGGTTTGTCCGGCTCACTACCGCCCTCTACCGCTGCATTGCCAGTCAATCATAGCTGTAGTTCCTATTACTGTTAGTGTTCCCTTTTTTGAACATTTATTGTGAATTACTTGTGCTGCAAGAACGCACTTTACGTTGATTTTGTACATAAACACTTTTCCTCTCGTGTTGTTTTTTTGCATTCCTGCCTTAACCCGTCACTTTACACCCCACATTCCTATACAAAAAATGCATGTTTTAGTATGCTCCACCACCCCTCCAAGTCTGTCTCATGAAACACCCTGTGTACATTAATTATTAATTTAATTTTTGCTACATTTAAATTACTTTGATAAATAAAAACTTTTCTTCCTTGCTTGTTAGAATTTTCTCGCTATGAAAGTCTTAGATGATCAAACATTAAAGTACCTATTAATGTTTTGCATTATAACTGTAACTATAATTTAAGCTACCAATAGCTCTTAATTACTCTTTTTAATTTGGGTAATTTTCCTCTCTATTCTAAAAATAGTAATAACGTTTTCTGGACTGCGTCATTTTTAGATCAATCTATACATATGATTTAATAACACTGATGATTTAGCTAATTCAGAACTTAAACCAAAACTTTCTCTTAATAAGTAGCCATATTGAATAACTGTGCACTTTGCTTCTATCTCTGATCTTGCTAAAACACAGCATGATGCTATTCTTCCTATTGTAACACTATCTAATGTAACTATTCTGAAACAGGCAAGATTAGTGTGCCTAGTGGTTTTTGAATTCTTTTTTACTTTGAATAATCATTGATAAATTGTTTTAAATATATTTTCAGGATGAAGATTCCATATGCAACAAGCTTTGCACATTTACTATAACACAAAAAGAATTTATGAATCAGCATTGGTATGTTAATTTTATAAATATGCATCATGAAATTATAATTTAATGCATTGCCATGTGTTTTTAACTCTTAAAGTAACTTTTCGTAATGTGAACAGTTTTATGGACCATCTATGGAATTAAAATTATAAGATATAATTTAATATTTCTATATACCATTAACATATACTTGTATATAAGAATGTATTGGAAAATTCTTCTTATGGTGTGTGTTTAAAAAAATGCCTCAAAATTCTAGACTAAGTCTAGAAAAGTATAGTTTACATTATTTAAAATTTTGCAGTTGTCATAGATTTTGTTAATGTATGTTAGTAGCATACTTTTAACTTCAGTTTAAATTTGCAGAGTGAGGCAGTGTCACAGGATGCACTTTTTTTATATTGACTGAGATAAGGTGCAGGTGACATTGTCTGTCACGTTTGTTGGCTCTTACTGTATATCGGCAATCTGTGATATTTTGGTTTTATTTATTTCGCACCATTGCCATGTCAGTCTGAAGACCAGATAATGAGAAAAAAGGAGACTTTGAATGCTGTATTTTGAATTAAGTGAAAAGGTATTTGTGTTTATTATCTAATGGCATAATAACTGTGCGAGAAGAGTTTAACCCATTTTATCCCAATTTATTTATTTTGTTCAAATTTGGAAAGAATGATATTTTTTAAGGTTAATTAAACCTAAACAAACTGAATATAATAAAATTAGAAATTTTTTTTATATATTATATTAAGAAATTTGTCCTGTCCTCTAAATAGGACAGGAATAAAGGGATAAATTTGCACTTACATGTTTTTAGTGTTCTCTTCGATGATGAAAAGTGATTTCCGTGGTGTACAAATTTTACTTTATTCGACTATGCTTCCTTATTTACAAGATACACTTTTCAGATGAATTTCACTCTAATCTTGGTGGAAAGGTCCAAAGCAAGCCTGACAAAGTGTTTTGTCACATTTGCCACAGTATGTTTTTGGTTTTCCTTTGCAGCCCTCTCTTTGATAACGACGCCGTTTTTCTCGCTTTAGTAAAAAATGACCAACACTATCTTTACGGATGTCTTCTTTTGCATCAGAAGGTACAGTCCAGATCCTAGGTCTACCTTTTGTTCTTATCACAGTTTCTTTTAGATAAACTGTTGTTACAGCTGTTGTTACAACTGTAATTGCTTAAATTACAGTTGCAGTAGCAACTGTAATTTAAGCAATTACAGTTGTAAATTAATTTAGGCAATTACAGATTATTTCGGATCTTGATGTAAAAAGCAAAAGAAATCTCCATATTTCAAAATACGTTTCATTTGTACAATTGAGGAACTTTCATCAGACCTTCAGTGACTAATTTGAAAATGACTGATCTGAAAGTGACTTAATTTGAAAAATGATATTTAGAGAAGATCTAATCCAGTTCTATAAGTATCTTTTGGAAGGTAAATATGGTCAGTTAAAATTATATGCATGGGGATTTATAACTGTATTTCCAAGTACTTGCCAATGTAAAGGCCATTTTCGAAAATGAAGCACATGAAGTCGCAATACTGATCATTATTATCAGATGACCATTTGCAAGCGATATGAAATATTAACTTTTAACTCCTGTATAATGAAAGAAAAACTTTAGAAAAAGCTATTATACTCATCGCATCAGGACAAAATTTAACTTGATTTATACTATGTTTATTAATAAATGGAAATATTTCATTAATTTAGTTTGGTAAGTGTCAGCAAGATGTGTATAAATATCATGTAAAAATATCACTTTTCATTTTTTAGCCTATCAAGCCTTTAATTTTAGCATCTTGCCCTTTTTGATCAGCAATGCAGTGAATGTACCCGTCATTCAGATATCTAAATTTTAGATATTTGCACAACAGTAATAACAAAAACCTCTTATTTTATCATCACCATTTTAACAATTGTATGATTTGTACAATTAAACTTTTGCCTAAAACTGAACTTTAGTAACATCTAGATAACACTGCATTACTAGATGAATCAATTTTGATTGCTAGAAGCATCTGATTCCACATACTGCGAATTTTGAGTTTTAAGAAGAATGGAGTTTCGTTTCTTCAGATTAAAAGATGAAAAAATAAACACAACACTGCTTTTGCTGTGGTACTAAAAAAAAAAGTTCATTTGAGCAGATTATTATGTGTCAGCAACTTATTTCAGCTATTAAATAACAATAATTTGCAGTTCTTATTCTTGGCTAGTTGCATTTATGAACACTCACTTTAGCAACATTTTTTCATAAATGTTTTTGCAATATCAAAGATTGTTAGAGCATTATAACTTTTACAATCCACATAAATTAATTCTATTTTGATATAAGCTCATATTTGCTTTTTATTGTTATTATTATATCATTATTATTTTTGTTGCCACTCCACAGTGACGCTAAGCTCCTGCATTTTTGAAAATATGCCTAGTAAAAAAGGTTGCACCCTGCTCTAAAGTAGCTAATATGCTTATAACCTAAAATGCCTAAAATTTATTTTTAATTAGCAGTTAACCAATCATAGCATGCAAATTCTACCATAATGTGTATAATCAAGAAAACTCTTACCAAAAGTTTGCAAGAGCATTTAAAGAATCTTGATAGCAAGTCTGATAAGTTTTAAGTAAAATTTGAGGCAGAGAAATTGCTCAAATTTGTTATTCTGTGTAAAGACTGCAAAACTGTGCAAAATTTTCTAACTTAATATGGAAAATTTTACTGGATAATATTATGCTGTGTAGCAAATTGACATAGCAACAATAACTTAGTAGTAGTGATCTTGAGTATCCCATTTGCGTTTGTTAAATGCTACAATTATGTAAGTGTAATATGGGAACTTCATGGTACTGTATATGCACGATATGAATAATTATGTACATGAATTAAAGCAAACATTATCCAAATAAGCCGTAATCACTGCCTAAATTAAAATTAAAAATCAAAATACCCTCCCCTCAAAAAAAAAAAAAAAAAAAAAAAAAAAAAAACTCAAACAAGGATACAAATGAAAATTAAGACAAATTCATGTAATTTTATTAAAGTGGTAATTTATAAAGCAAAGGAAAATTCTTTGCGGAAGGGAAATTATAATAAATTATGACCGTAGGTAGTGGGAGAAACATATGAACAAACTTTATATTTTATTTAGTTTTATTTAGTTCAGTTATGATATTTCACTGTGAGTGGAATTTGGCTATCGATTTTTAACCTACTTCCTGATAATTCCTGAATTCAAACTTTGTGCACCTACTTTTTGTCCTTGACAATGCTGTGTAGTGAAGCAGGTTTTTCATCTCTCTCTTTTTTTTTTTTTTTTTTTTTTTTTTTTATGTTCAAATTATTTTTTGCACATAGCTTTGTTTAATGAACAAACTAAGAATATCAGAATTTTATTGTTTGCACCATCAAATGAAGCAAGAAAAAAATATCTTTTCAATGAAACTTGTTTTAAAGTTTTAAATTAATTTCTGAATTTTGGTGAAGTTTTGAGTTACTTGATTTGTTCGACTATTTGACGAAACTTTTTGCCCTCTTTTAAAAGAAGAAAGGTACTTTTAAAGAAGAAAGCTAGGTACACTTAATGACAAATTTGTGATATTCATTTTACATTTTAGCTTCAAGTAAAATGCTTGTTGCATCCAATTTTCAAAACTTCATAATTGTCTTGTAATTTATTGCTTGTGTTTTAATAATGACTGAAAATTTCATCATTGATAGTGTAATAGAGACTAAAAAACAGAAAATAAAATACAGTTAAAAAATATTTTTATGCAGTAAGCTTTTATTTAAAATGGATATGATAATTAATGAACTAAAGTAAGAAAAATAGTTTATTATATAATTTAGTGGGAATAATTGAATAAGTGCATAATAGAATAAAAGATTAAGTATTTTTAATTTTCATTATTTTTTTAACAAAATCCGTCTTCAATTTTATATTGTGAGTAATAAAAATGTGATGCACATAAAGAACGAATTCTATTAATTTAATTGCATTGTCAAATGTTTGAGCTATTGCCTTTTTAAAATTTTCTTTTAATTGTATCATCAAATGCATAAAATCTTATGTAAAAATAATAGTAAAAATATACAAATGTATAAATATGTGCAAATGTAATGTCTTCAAGTTTCATTGTTTTTTATTTTTTGTTGTTTCATTTTAAAATATTACCAAAACTTTGTGGCTCAGAATTTGAGTTGGTTAATTCAAAATTTGTTTTCTCATTCTTGATAGTGTATGGAATCTAGTGGTATGATATTCTAATTTAAATAGTTATAGTGTTATAATATTTTAAATTTAAACTTTAGCAACTATTCCGTTCTGAAGGTATGAGTGCAAAATCATGATACCTTAACATTTTACTAATTTTTTATCTTGAAATGAATTAGTATTGTAAATAAATTATTGGTTGAAATTTTCATTGTAATTATATAGAAAGGTATATGAAATGTATTTAAACTATTCTATTACAGGTATCATTGCCATACTTGCAAAATGATAGATGGAGTTGGTGTATGTACTATATGTGCAAAAGTTTGTCATAAAGATCATGATGTCACATATGCAAAATTTGGATCATTCTTTTGTGATTGTGGAGCCAAAGAAGATGGTAGTTGCCAGGTATAGTAACTATGATTTTGCCTATGATAGTAACTATGATCTAATTATCATCTGAATATTGTTATGTTGGATCAGCCTTTACCTTACTTGGTTGATCCAGAGTTCCTGAGTAATAAACACATTAAAAATCTAGTTTTGAGGATCAGGAAAAGACTTAACATCCTTAAGTATATATCTGATACTGAGTGGGAGGGGGAATTAATCTACTCTCAAATCTGCATGTATGTCACGAATAAGACCCATTTTGGAATATGGTTCAAAAATTTACTTTTTCATTTCTGCTACCAATTTGGCTAAACTTGAGTGTGTTCAATTTAAGTGCTACCCAAATGCTGGCTTATGTAGCAGCTGCCTGGCTGAAATAGCCCTCTTTGAATGTGATGTACAACCACTGAATTCGAGACTCAAAGCTAAATTGTCAAAAAATACTTTAATATATATAGTTATGATACTTTATACTTCTTCATGATTGAGTTTCTAATCAAAGATTGAGAAGAAACAGCCCTTTTTCTTTGGTTTATCTCATGGGTTTAATAGATACATTTGTTAAGAGATACTCACTGAAACTTACTAGAGATCACAGATCATTTCCTTCGATACTGGTATATAGTTGCATAGAATTTTAACCAGATAGTTTAGATTTATATCCTGAGGCCAATCTTGGTAATTAAGGTACAATCACACTACATTAATTAATTAATTAGGGTGCAGTCACACCACTCACCCAAAGGCAAAAATGTATAAAAAGGCAAAGACACTGGATTAGTTCATTAATTCTAATGATAAGTAGCACTAGCAAAGTAAATCTCTGCAGTTGAACATAAGTGCTGAGTGAACAATTTGTACAAATTGAAGTAATTCTTGCATTTCCTTAAATTTGTATTCCTTGAAGATTTAACTTGAATTTAATTGCAGATAATTACCGAGGTAATTAGATTTTTTTAGTGTAGTTTACATGAGATGAGATCACTTGGGGTCATGTAATATGAGGTAGCGAATTAGGATGTTCTACCATGAAAGCATAATGAATTTGTGAGCAAAATTTGTAACAAAATAAAATAATAAAATAAGACTTCTTGGCATCCATTTTCACACAGGCTTAAACCTCTTGTACCAAAAAACAAACAACCCCTTCTCACCAAAAAAAAAAAAAAATATTTACCAGATTACCTTTGGCAGATTGTACTGAAAACTTTAAACGGCATTCCCTTTAATGCCCTTCAGGTTTCCACTGATGACAGTAAAAATAAACTTGGGAGTTGCAGTAGTGGAGTCTTCATTAGAGCGCCTATTAGTAGCTTTATATTGACTAGAAAAACCTGGTCACTATTCTGTTCTTCAGTCTGAACTTATAGCAATTGAGGAGGGCCTTAAGGTTATATACACTTGCACTGCCTACAAAGGTATTTTGATTTTGACTGATAGTCACAGTTCTATCCAGCATCTGCAAAATTAGCCTCGTATTGGTGATTCTCTATTTTTTGTTTTTACTGCAAAACCTCTCTTCCGATAATGATGCACTTCTGCAATGGATCCCTTCTCATAGTGGCCTTAGTAGCTTTGGTTAGATCCAAGCAAATAAAAGCAGAATGCAGATTATTGGAGTTATTGGTATGAATTTGGTTTAAAGCTGAATCTATGGCATTCGTTGTCGATTTATTCGGGATGAATCCAAATTGATTATTGCTGATAAATTCTATTTTTATTAGATGATGTCGTAGACGATTTGCTATTATTCTTTCTAAGACTTTTCCTATTGCCGGTAATAAGTTGATTGGTCTGTATGATTTTGGAGTATTTGCATCTCTGCGCTTGGTTTGCTAAACAAAATGACTTGACCAGTTTTGAAATGAAGTAGGAAATGTGCTTAATTGTAGGCACTTATTACTGAGATCTAAGAAAAGAGTTCGATCAATATAATGAATAAGTTTGGACTATTTGGGGTGGTAAATATCCATCTGGTCCTGGTGCCTTATTTTTTGCTAAATTTTTATTATATTAGAGATTTCCTTTTAATGTAAATGGAAAGTCATCCATTGTATCTGGAGCTGTATTATTATTTCTGACGTACGATTGTTCAGCAGTATCTTCTTGAGAGGAGTCTTGCAGAAAAACTTGTTCCATGATATTAGAAAGAGTTATTAAAGTTGTCTTGATCTTGATGTTTGAGATTGATTGAGGTTTGAAGTGATGGAGATTTGGGTTGGTTTAAAAAACTTTGTTCATACAGATCTTGTAAATATTTCCATATCTTTCTGTGTTTTGGGTACAATAATCTTCTCCAGCATTTATTTTTAGCTTGATAGTATCATTTTTTTATATGCATTGCTTTTTGTTGTGAGTATATAATGTAAAATTTATCTTTCAGTTCTTGAAGGGAGGCTTTTTTTCATTTTTCCTATAGAATGCTCTTGTTTTGTTTCTCTGTATCCTTAATTCTTCTTAGTCCACCAGTTTAAGTTACAAAGTTTATTATTTGGGTTCTTGGGTTATAAATGATTGTTTGCAGCAGTGCTGGTATGAAATATTGTAAGGTTTTCCATTGATTTATTGAGTATGTGATTTTATCAGATGAATTATTGATTTCCCGAAATGGATCTTGAAGAGATCTTGTTTCATGAGCTGATTAAAATTTTAATAGATCTTGAATTAATTTTAAATCGATGAGTTAAGGTTATTTCAAATTAAGATTCTTTTATAGTCAGATAGCAAGGAACAGCAAGGACAGTGAGACATTATTTTATGGTCAGATAGCGATATGGTATCTAAAACTTCCCATGATAAAATTTTGTTAGCTATTTGAATATGAGGTTATAGTTAAGTCAGGCCATCCACGTCCATGTATTGTTTCATATTGTAGGTAGGCTGTTATCATTATTATGAAGAACTAAATTATGCTTATGCTATAAAATCTTCGACCGATGCTCACCTCTTTGTATCAATATTATTATATCCCCATATTGTATGGTGGGCATTAAAGTCGCCTCCTATTATGTGCTGATATTTTGAATGTTTCCTTATTATTAGAAGAAAGGGCTTGTAATGTATGTTATTTTCTAAATTTTTCAATTGGCGATGCATAGAAGGAAAGGTGAATGATAAGTTGATTTTCTTTGTTATTATTTAATAATATGGAAACTATATCTTTACTTGTAAAGATTATTATTGGAGATAAATATTTGTTATTGATGATGATAGCTGATCTGACTGAAGATTTATCTGAAGATTCATATTGAATACAGTTCCAACAGTTTGGTATTCCGCTAACTTTTCCATTGACACAGTAGGGTTCTTGTATGAGGATTATGTCTGGATTGAGCTCAGTTGAAATTTGGACCAGGTTTGTCATAGAAGAGGGGGCTCTTTGAAGGTTAATTTGTTGTATTTTGAGAGTCGAAAATTCTTTATTTTTAATTAGTATTGGTCGACATATTTAATTATATTGTTTTGGTGAATTAAAGTGAAGAAGTGGTATTTTAACGTTGTTAATGGTTGTAAGGATGAAATTAATCTAAGATGTCATTATTCGGTTCTTGTAATTACTTTTGGTCACTTCTTTTTGATATATTGGGCAGTTTGGTGCATAAGCAGGGTGATATGTATTAAGGTCCGTATTATTGGCATCATTATGTAATTTGCAGTTTATACATAAGGGACTTTCTGCTTGGCATTCTTTGATATTGTGATTGCCGCCACAGAATGCACAATAGTTTCTATGTTTGCAATTTCTGACTGAGTGTGAAAAGTCTTGACATATGAAACATCGACGTAATCCAAAAAGTCTGCAATTCTGCGATTTTGTGACTTCTCCAGCCGTAGTTAATATTATTTTGTTTCATTAGTATTTTGAAAGCTAGAGGAGAGCATTCAATTACCCATTTTATTCCATTGTTTCTTTTGTCATTTATTTTAAAAGAGGGTATGAATTCATTTTCATCCAAATTATATGCATTTTTAATTATTTCAGTGATATCTTCTGGACCAGTATTGTTAGGTAGATTGTTTATTGTGCATTTAGGTTTTCTTTTGGAAGGTATTTTGAAAGAAACTAAATTATTGATATTTTTATTGCTTTCCAATATGGAATTAATCTTGAGTATTTCTTTTTTGGTATTGCATGAAACCGCAATACCACCACCTTTTCAGGATATGTGAAATCTTTTGAATTTTTACACCAATTTTGGAAACTGGATTGTATTTTTCTAAATTATCTTGCAATTCACGATTCGTCATTTGTGCCTTTGGGATAATAAGAAGTGTTGGAGTCTGTCTTTTAGTTGGATCTTTATTTATTTTGGTTACTTCTGCATAAGATCTGGATCTTTCCTTTTGTATTTGGTCATGAGATATAGGAGATATAAATGCTTTATTGATATTTTGATGATAAATAAAACTTTCTCTTTATTTCGTGGTAAAATCTGCATGTCGTTGTAACCTATGGGTGGATTATTGTTTGCATCCTGGATATAATTTTGTTGCAGAAGGAAGGACTTTGATTTGATGTTGAAATCCTTTGCTTGTGTGAAGATATATTTTGTAAATTGGTTTCGTATTCATAGTTAGAACTGATTGGTGAGAGAGCTGCATCATCATAGAATTTTCTTGTTTGACAGCTAATAGGTGAAGTTGCTGAATCCATATATTTCTTAGAATTGATATGATGACTAATATCATTAGAACTTTTTATTTCATTATCTTCACATGAGAGTGAAGATGAATGCGTGTTTTTTGCAGCAAGTTTTGAATCTTTTATAAAATCAATCAAAGATTTGATTTTTAGATATAAATTCTTAGAGAGACCTCTTTTGCCAGATATTCGAGTTTGTAGTAATGAAATGCATTCCTCATAAGCGTTTTGAATTTTTTGATCCATATTATCAGTATTATTAATTGTGCTTTGTGAATTAGCATCAGTATTGCAAATCCTTGAAAGTTTAAAACGCTGAAGAACAGCCGTTGGATCAGTCGAATGATAGGTATCAAGTGATGTTAAACTTGAAGATCTAGAGTTTTGCATTATAGGGTTGGAAGCAGTAAAGAAATGTAAATCTTATTTATTTTAAATTTTAAATACTTTATGAGTTCAGTTGAGAAATATTTTTTTATTATTTATTTCTTTAATAAGACTATTTATGTATCTACTATATATTAATACATATTAAATAAACAGTTGATATAAATACCCGAAAGTTTCAGTTGTTGTAAACAAAAAATATCGCCAACAGCGGCGATTAAAGATATGATGTGGAAATTAATATTTATTTTTAATGTTTACGTTACATTAAATTACATGAGAAAAGTTGAGTTGTCGATATCCTTGTTATGTTATATTATTATAAGAAAGATAACGTGAAATATTTATTAAAAAGTTTTTCAATATATGTAATACAAATCTTATAAAGGAATTATTGCATTACCTATATTAAAACTGATATGTCAACAATGGTTTTCTGTGAATTTTAAAATTAAATATTAGTGAAAATTAAATATTTTAGTCAATATATTTAGAAAAAATATCACAGAAATTTATATAAAAATTATATATTCTGAAAGAGAAAAATTTGCTCTATCTGGTACTGTAATTCTTGATACAATATGTTGAGTTTCACAGAGAAATAAGCTATTTAAAAGATTTGGCTGCAGTCGTTGTAATATTAGTCTAACATTGAGTATTGTTAAATTTTAATAACTTACAAACTTGATAACTTTGAATGACAATATCTTTACAGTCCTTGGTGATACATTCCTAAAGATTATATCCTCTTATGTATCTTTTTTAGGGCTTTAAAATGATATAAAAATTTTTCACCTCAGACACCTATTTACGCAATTCAATTTTCTCGCTTTAGGAGCTCCTAAAAATACGTTCAACACAGTTCAATAATTCACTTTTTCTCTTATAAGTGACAGTATGAATTTGCCCAAGGCATTCTCCTTAAAAACTGGGAAAACTGGGCAAATTCATATTCTCTTATAAGTGACAGTATGAATTTGCCCAGTTTTCCCAGTTTTTAAAGAGAATGCCTTGGGGAATGGGTAGAATCTTGGACCCAAGGCTATGGCAGCCAGCTCTCTTACCATCATACCAACAGAGTGTCTTTTATATGAAATGCAAATTGCAATACATGTGCAGTAGGCTGTCTAGTGAAAAATAGTCCCATCTATGTAGGAAATAAAGTCAGAACTCTCTATGTAGCATTAGTTTATGAAGGAATAATACTATACCATATCCCCCTCCCCGGTCCATTTGGCATTGTTTTGAACATCTGGATTTAAAAGGTAATTTATTTTGTATCCTAAGTTACTGGGAATTAATTTATATAATAATAGGTTTGTTGTAACTGTTTAGCTTAAAACTGTTCAAAGCTTTAACAAAAATCTAAATGTGAAGATCAACTGCAGTTTTGTGCTTTTTTATATTTATTTTTTAATTTTTCAGTATTTTAGCATTTTTAATGAAATTTTAAGCTCAGATCCAAAATTTATTAAATTTATGCTAGCAAACAATGTTTAATTAGTTATTATATACAAAAGTATATAACTTCACCAATTTATATTTTTATTGCTTAATAATTTTTATGGATAAAATTTTAAAACAGTGATTGACATTCTGTAGAAATTCATAGCATTTTATTTAATGATTACCAGAAAAAAAGCGGAACTTTTAAAATGTTTGAGCTGAAACTTTCATAATAATAATATAATTATTATTACTTGTTTTAAAAGGATAATTTTCTGTTTATTATAAAATTATTTTCCTCTGAGCTATGCAGCAAAATATTTTTTAACCTAATTTTCATTTTCATGTTTGTGTTTTTTATTTTTAGGCTCTTTTAAAAAGAAGCCCTAAAGTTACCAATGAAAATAATGCACCACAGCCTTCTACTACTGGCTTCTCTTTTGGGTCAGATTCCATCTTACCTAGCTCATTGCGGAGACGACCATCTTCTCCGACAGCTTCTGGTGCTGGTGCTTCTAATGGAGAACAGCTGCGTAGTCAGTCATCCGAAAGCAAAAAGACAACTGATGAGACTCTTAAACACAAGCAGACTTTGGCAAGACAGCTGGAGGTGTGTGTTTCACAACTAAAGAACTTTTTTTAATGCTGTGATTGTAGCTAATTTAAATTATCAGTTGAGGTCAAGAAAGTTCTGATTCAAGTTCTTCAATATTTTGTGCATAAAATTTTACTGGAAAATTTTTGTCTTACCCTGCTTTTGTAATTTCTATGGTAAATTGAATGCTGTACAAAGTGATACAATTCATCTGTTAGTTTTAATCTGCTGAATTTGTAGTTCTTTTCTAATGAATGAAATGGGAAAAGGAGAATTTGTGTTTTTAAGTATTACATCTAACTATATAAAGTAACTATAAAAATCTTTTTCATGTTACAAAATTCTGTTACATTTAGAAAAAAAGAGATCATGGCCAAGTAAATTTTTTTTTCATCTCCTTGTAAATGCTTTTTGTGCCTAGAAAGAAAACTGAGCAAAATTCCAATTTCATGCAATTTTTTTTTTTTTTTTTTTTTTTTTTTTTTGAAAAATTTCTTTAAATACAGAATTTATAACCTCTTTTATTCTGTTGTTCATCAATATTTTGGTATCCAAAAGATATGTGGAGTGTAATTTTCTTCTAATGTAATCCCATAGGAAAAGTCTAAAAGTTTGTGTAGAATGGTTAAAGTAAGTACAATTAAGACAGGTGGACAAATACTGTTAACTGCAAACCAAGTTCTCTCTCTCTCTTTTTTTTTTTAATTGCATCATTTGGGCAGGGCCTTGATGATCTTTTGCATTGTCCCTTCTGTTTCCATGACATGATGCGGGAAACACCTATTTCCAACAGTTATGCCGAACACATTATCTGTACCATTTGGTTATCAAATTATTTTATTGACATGGTTTCATTTCCATTATTGCTGTTTATTTTAGTAATTTACAATCGCTGGGTAGAAAAGAGATGAAAATGTTGCACTAGATTCTATAGTAGGTTGGCTTAAGCAATTAGAAGGGCTGTCGACTCCCCCCCCCCTTTTTTTTTTTTTAATTGGTAGAAGACTATTGTACTCAATCTTTCTCTCTGAAAACATAAAATTTAGGAACTAGTAAACCTTTCTCAGTCTAAACACCAAAATCCTAGAAAATAATCCCCCCAAAGTTTCAAACTGTTATAAACTTTTAAGTATTAATGGAATGCTCTTTTTATTTCTGTTATTAATTCTTATAATATTATGTTATTTAAAAAAATTAGAAGTAATACACAATTTCATATTTTAAAGAATTTTTTTTTTAATTTATTTTGTTCAATCTGATTGCACTTTTCTGCCAGTTCTTTTACAACTTATTTGTGATAATTAGCATAAAAACATATTAAATATAAAAATCTAACATTGCATATCTTGAACTAATAAAAAATTATCATAATTTAAATTTTTATTCATGATTTGTGTTTGTGAAATATTAAAGTACATTAGAAGGAAATAGAGATCAAACCAGCAATATATGGGAGAGATCTTATAATGTGTGTTCGTCTTTAAAATTAAAAAATAATAGTCAATAAATAAAATTTTAAAAAGTCATTCTGAAAACATTTTTTGATTATGATAAACCATTTACTCAGTGTCCCTGATTCTAGGTTTTTATATTTTCTGTCAATTATAAATAAATGCTATTGCCTTAAAAACATTTTTCACAAATATATTTTTAGCAGTAAGAGAATTATGGTACAATAAAAGTAGTGATGCTGCGAGCTAGATTCAAACTGGGAACTTCTCATTTAAGGCACAGTATCTTATGATGTTGCTGGTACTTTTAAACCAATTTGGAGAACTTAAGTAGTATGAATGTAAATTGATCTGCTTTCCTTTCTCATTACAATATTGGGCACATTAAGTGTTAGCCAAGATATTCACATCAAAATTAACTGCTACAATTATGCTGAGTTTATGTGAAATTAATGTTCATAAGCTTTCCGAACATAATATTTTAACATGTCTTACATAGCAGTATCTTTAGATCATGCTCCTTTGTAAATATGAATGTAATAATTTAAGGACCACATGTGGTAGAATTTTCAGTCCAATGTGTAATAATATTAAAGGTTGCTGAAATAAATGTATCATTGTACTTTAATTAAAAATGTTTTGATTTAAAGTTTTATATTTGGTTTAAAAAACTGTTTGATTGTTTTTTTTTTTTTTTTTTTTTTTTTTTTTTTTTTTTTTAAGGCTTCAAAAGATGTTCTCTTGAATTTTATGGTAAGCTGAACGTTTATTTTTCAATAGCTGCAATTCATTTGATTGATTAGTTTCTATTATTTATTTAGTTTGTTATTTGATTAATTGATGCTTATTATTGTGATATGTTGTCAAATATATCACTGAAACTGCTGCTTACATTGTTACAGTATTCTATGTACACATTCATCATTTTTTTTTAACACTGAATGTTTTTCTTTCTGTAGGCTACTACAAACATAGCTTCCACAGTGTTAGAGCTACTGCAGTATCTGATGCCTGCAATAAGTCAATCTTGCCAACGAAATTCTCCAATAGGGAGCTCTATAAGAGCACAAAATGCTTTGTTAGAACTTCATACTCAGGATAAAGTGTTTGATCAGAGTGATCAATTAATGGTATGTAGGCAGTTTGTGTGTATATATACAAATTATTTGCATGTTGTCATTTAAGATTGCTAATTGAAAATTTTTACTTTTATTGTCCATATGAAAGTATAACTAATTTATACAAATCCTGTGTGTCTTGAAAATCTGCAGGACTGTATTATAAATAATTTAATTCAAATTATTTCATAAACTCCCTTTTTCATTTCATTAATTGAAAATCTGTTAATAGAAATCAAATTATTGTAAAAAATATAATCTTTTATTATTAAGGTATGGTCGATTGTATTAGCAGTTTAATAAAATTAAAAATATGAAATCTTGATTTATGACATAATGAAGCATTTATTATCTAAAGGGTAACAAAATTTACAAAAAAAAAAAAAAGCTTAATAATTATTTGTTTAATTTATTAAACATTTCTTTCAATGTAAGTTGTTTAAGCTGCTTTCTTGTGCTGGTAATTTTTCTTTAATTCTGTAGACAGATGTAACAGTTCCATTGTTCAAGTCCTGTAATTGCTGTGTCGAGAATTCCAACTAACTTGTCAATCGAAATTTCTTCGTTTTCAAATAACCTCTCTGTCAACCCTTCTTCACTATCATAGTGGTATTTTCTGATTCTAGAACCATATTGCAGATTTCATGTCCATTAATTGATTGATAATTGGGGCAATGTCATCACAATGAAAAACTTCTGTTATATCATCTTCATTTATTACCGCTTCTCCACATTTCTTTAAAAATTTTATTAATTGGAAAATTCAACCTTTGGTTTGCAATATAGAAATTCTGCTTTATATTTGCATTTCATCTTGATCACTATTCCGATACCCATAGGCTGAATGATGGACGTACAATTTGGAGGAAAAAATAATAAGGATACATTGCCTTTCACTAAAACTTTAAGTGAAGTATGATCCGAACAGTTGTCTACAGTCAGTACAATTTTTGCATCATCAGGTAAACCAACCAAATTCTGCTGAGCCTCGGTATGAAATGATTTTCAAGACAATCATTCATTAACACTTGTGTCGTCCGTGTTCTTTTATTTACATGATATATAACAGGAAACTTATTACTCCTTTAAATGCTCAAAGTTATGCATTTTTTCCGATTACAAAAACTTTACATTTCTGTGTTCCTGCTGCATTTATGTATGCTAAAATTGCTAGTCTCGTTTTGGAATCTTTGACAAGAATTGTAGCCTTTTCTGTAGAAGTTGTCAAGGTATTTTGCAGTACATATTGCCAGAAAAGACCACTTTCATCAGCATTGTAAATTTGTTCTGGAGAAAAATTTTAACTGTTAATGAGTTCATCTGCAAATAGTTCAGCAGCTTCAGTATCAGCTAGAGTTTTCACCTGAAATTTTTAATTGCTTTATACCATGCCATTTCTAAATTTCGTTAACCAACTTGTCGAATATATGCACTCAGTATTTAAGTTCATTTCTTCATGAAATATTTTGGCTTGAGCCATTATCATTGAATCCACCTGTGGCACGCCTTCGCTGTGACACTATCTGACCTATTCAATCATCACAGTGTCCTGGTCGTCACATTTAGCATAAGGAATTAATTTTTCTGTTATTCGTTGCAAGTAGGGTGTCGGAAAAAAAAAAAAAAAATTTTTTTTTAAATGTCATATATGCTTTTCCAATGTCATACTCCTCACATAATTTGAGACGGGTATACCTTCATCCATTTTTTCAGCAAGTCTGCTTTTTGGTTAATGGACAAGAAACATGTTTTCACTTCATAAATCCTATTGCAGCTCCAGAGTTAGAAACTCTTTTCGACATGATCAAAAGCTGAAACTTTAATTTTCATCAAATTGCTGTGATAAACACAGCCTGCAAAAAAAAATTAAGCTGGTTCAAATCAGAAATTTAAGGAACAGCGCAATATTGGCTGAAATTCCTTGGATTCAGTAGAGTATAATTTTGGCCTAGCTTGGTAGCATCCGCTATAATTATTGGCTATGTGTCGTGAGATTGGGGACGAAAGACAAGTTGTTCCATTGAATTTTTTATTGCTTCTATAGCGCATTGAGACGATTAAGCCTGATTGTATTAGTTAAGTTATTTATTATACTTGCGTCTATTTTTTGCACATGCTTAAGGCTTATCTGAATCCTGAATAAATAAATTCCCACATATACATAAGGCTTTTTGAGGGCCGGTGCTAGATACCTTACCGCCTGATGCAATCTCTGTGGGTACTGAATTCTGCTAACAAGTGCCTAAGTTCTAAATTTTGGATAGCAGTGCTTTTCCTAAATTATAAAAATATTTACATCCTTTCATTTTGCTGCTCGGAGCTTCTCTAAATTTCATAAATCTCATCTTTGATAAATTCTGCCACCTGGTGCAGCCATACGAGCTCTGGTGCCGATTCTGGGTCTACGTGAAAAACAAATCAGTTATTCTTTTGGCCCATCGATATCATCAACAAAATTTATTTTTAGCGTAGGGAAAGAAACTTTCGTCAAATTTTTCCTTGTTAATATTTCTTAGCGCATTTAAATATTAAATCTGTAATCATTGCCAAGTGCAAGAATGTCAACGTAAAAGGTTACCATACTCTTTGTACTAATATAAAAAATTGTTTGGGCATCGCTGCATGAGTCATTGCTCAAGTTGTCATGTGTTGATAAACATGCGGTGATGAAAATAAAATACAGTCAAAAGTCTTTAATCTGAAATGATCTATAATCCGGACCTCAAAGCTAACAAACTTTATGTGCATGCTTAGCATTTACGCATGTGCATATGCCTTTATGCATACGCATAATACATTTACGCATGCACGTTTAATGTATAATGGGCGGTATAAGCTAGGCTAAACTGATCTATTTATCTATTTCAGTTAAATGTTGCAGATTGCGTTGTTCCTTAATCTTCTAATTGGATCTGGCTTATTATTTTTTGCAGGCTGTTAGAGCAATTTCATAAAAGTAAGCTTGAACTTTCGATTATGTCAAAAAGAATTTCCGATTCTGCAGCTGCAAAGGATCTACAAAGCGAAAGCATGTTTCGATGTCCATCAAACAAAAAGTGGAATTGCTGCAAAAAATGGATAAAGGCATATCCTTAGTTTCTCGAACCATTCCAAAATCTGTTTATCAATTTCACGCTGCTCTGCGGGGGGGGGGGGGGACGTCGCGGTGCTCAACGAACTGAAAGTTGATCTGTCAGCACTATCCTTATCATCAGGGCAGATGTTTTTATTTTATTCAGCTTGTAATTCCTTACTAAATGTAGTATTTCATTTCGATGTACTCTGATATGATTTAAATCAAATTCCTCATCATTATAAATATCACAAATACACATCAAATAGTTTTCTGGTTGCAATTTTCTAATTTTGACTATGTGTAATGTATGCTTTACGCATGTGCACGTTGTAAGAAATGTTTAATAAAGTAAACAAATAAATATTAAGTTTTTTTTTTGTGTGTGTGTGTGTAAATTTTGATACCCTTTAGATCATAATTGCTCTTTATTTCATAAATTACAGTTTCATATTTTTGATTTTATAATTTCCACGTGCCATCTTACCAGATTTAAACTGATGATCTCTAATCTGGAAAAACTGATAATCTGGAATTGCGGAAGTCCCGACGAGTCCAGATTAAAGACTTTTGACTGTATTATAACTAATGATTCGCCGGGTTGGCGTCAGGGATATAAAGTATTAGTAGGAGTAAAATCAACCATGTTTCTTTATAGAATGCTTCGATTTGAGATCACAGCTATGGAGCCAAATTTTTGCTCACATTAATTTATGCTACATTATTGTTTCTTCAGTAACGAGGTATTTATTTAGTGCCGAAGGAAAATTAAGAATCAGGACTTTCCACATTTTTCCGGATTTTAGATTGTTCCAGATATTGGACTTCCGGATCTCGAACTTTGTACTGTATCCATACAAATTCTTTAGAATACATCATCTTGAAGTGATGAGTGCTTGAAATGAAGTCTGCAAGTATCTGGGCACTGTGACTGTAGAAGTTTAAACACAGTACTTCAAAATTGGAAGTTTATGTGGCAAAATTTCAATAGACTTTCTGACTGTGTAAAACACAGGTTCTCAAACCTATGCCGGTGGGCACCATGGCACCCACCAATCATTTAATGTGCACCCATGCCTGTGCAGTCACAATAAAAATGTTTTAGTTTTCAATGAAATTCTATGTGAAAGTTTTCTCATTTTTTATGAAATGTAAATGGTGCTTGCCATCCAACAGCTATTTTAGAATGTGCTCTTAGGGACAAAAAAGGTTGGAGATCCCTGATGTAGAGTATGTAGTTACCAGGCATTGGATTGATACGTTCCTACTACTTGCTCTTTTGGAAGAACATCCAGGTATAGAAAATGACCAGAAAGACCAAAAGCACCTATAGATGAAAATATGTGATATTTGAGTTTTATAGAGAGGAAAAAGATCATTGAGAAACTTATGAAGAAATAGCAGAAGCTAAAATGAACTTACCAATACCATTATCGCGATAATGTGTGTAATATTCACTAGTATTTTATCAAATGTTAACTGGAAAAGAAGAATTTGTGCTTGATGGCTCTCTCACAACTTAAAGCAGCTTAATTGAAATGAAGATTTGATAATAACAGTAAAAAATTGCTATCTTGAGTAATCACAGTTGATCAAATGTGGAATAATAACTTTGAACCAGAACTGAAATTTTTTTTGAGAAATCCATCCTCCCTACGACCTCCTAGAGTTTTGACATGAATAATAATAGTTTAAATAAATGATGATCTTTGCTTATGATTTACCAAGAAATTATTTAAAAAAAAAAAAAAGATTTCAGTGTGGAAAAGATGTGCCTGCAGCACATAATGCAAGCAAGAAAAATGTATGCCTCCCTCCACATGGCTGGATTTAGACTTGATAGGGCCTTAACCTACTAGAGATATGGGGCCCTTTGTAAGTCCAGATATTATATATCAGTGCCAAATGTGATTTTCAGATATCTAAAGGGTTTGGGGGGGGATCCCCAAAAAAGTGGGGGCCCTATAGCTTGTGTAGCTAATATGTAAATCCTGCACTGTCCTTCCTAAAAAAAGCTCTTCTTAGGAATGCTAATGCATACATGTGCATGGAAAGACTGTAACAAATCTATTGATCAAGTACTAATGGGAGTTTTCTGCCATAAAGTCTATGCATGAGCTTTGCAGACTTTATCTTTTTCCTCAATTTGAAAACGTTTCTATGTGAATTACATTTTTCCTCCTTGAAAGTGATTTTTTCTGCAGTTTGATGAGTGAAAAAAAGTAATATTTTGCAAGGAATAATAATTTTTCTGAGACATTCAATTCTGGTAATGGAGAAGTAAAGGAGCCACATGAAAGGAAACGAAATAAAATAAGTCAGGGAGGGGCAAAAAATTGACGTTTTTTAAATAACCTTTGAATTTTTCTTTTATAACTGTTATTTGCTTTTAATATAATATGGTCCTTGTAGTAATTCACAAAAACAGAATTTTTTTCCTCTGTTTCTTACCGAGCTAATTAGCGCACAGTGGACGATTTGAAATCTATCAAACTGTTACACACACATAATTTAATAATGTAATATAAGAAATGAAATTACTGATAAAAAATACATCATTGCGTGTTTTTGTTTCAATATAGTTATATTTTTAAATAAAACTAATTTTTGTTTCTAGCGATTCACATTTTTTTAGACCAAAAGGATACATGTTGCTTGACAGCTGCAATTATTAGACCAGAGAGCCATAGTTTGCCCATGCCTGATAGATATTGTTGAGTGCGTATGGGTTCATTATGGTTTGAATGCGTTATGATTTCGTCTCATAAAAAATAAATAAAATTTATTATTATAACAACAAATAAAAAAATAATTAAATTTCCTTAGATATCTCACAGTAGTTATCTTTTAAACTACTAAAAACCTTCAACAGAACTAATTCAAAATTAGAGAAACGTAGAGAAAGCTAATTCGTAAATTCACTACAGTAAACTAACAGTGTTTTTCTAAACCAAATTGAGCTGAGGTGTTCTTTCTCTGGCTTTTTTAGCTTTTTAAATTCGCCACATGAGATTGTTCTAGCAATTTCTTGAATTTAGAAAGAGATATTTATTTATTAAATGTTAAATGCACGCGCTCTTGTGCTTTTAATTTTCCGGCTTCTCTTAATATTCATTACGTGCTGCACTGCACTGGGAATAAAACAATTTAATTTGTAATTCTACTAACCAAATCCATAACAATATATTTATATATGTGTGTAATGAAAGACTTGCCTGATATATATAGGTAATGACATTTGCGGCACTATTGATGATGTAAAACATAATGTTGATCTATATTGAAAAACAAACATGGCAGTTGAGAAAGATTAAATATACATCTTTATTTCAACTGACATTTGCAGCCACAATTCACTTGGCACTATAATTGTGCCTATTCAAGAGCATTTACATTTTCGATACTATTGTGATAAAAGGAAGAGCAACATGCTAGCATCTTAACAGCAAGAGAGCTAGAATCAAAAGTGCACAGTTATCCAATATGGCAGCCTATTAAGAGAAAATTTTGGCTTAAGTTCCGAAATTGCTGTCATCAGTGTTTCGCAAGTCATATGATATGAATTGATCTAGAAATGATGCAATGCAGAAAAAAGAAGTACTGTTTTTAGAATAGAGAGGGAGGAATTAAAGGGCTATTGCTTTGATTTACAAAGCTAGTTATATGTCTATAATTTTAGCTTAAAAAATGCAGAATAAATAAAAGCAAATTAATGGAAGCATATGTAAGCAGTTGATTTCTCTTTAATACTTAATAAGGAAAAGAATATAAAGAAAAAAAGATTGCCTTTTCATTATATGAAAAATTGTGTTTACATATATATATATATTAAATTGTAGCATGCTTTAATTCAAGTCCCCCCCTTTTCCAAGGAAAAAAAGTACATATAATCATTATATCTTGAGTAGTTGCACAGTTTTATTCCTTAAAATTCTCCTAAACCTAAATCTTTATTATTTTTTTTAATTGCCAAATCAAAATCTCCCCCCCCCACTGTGGTTTCATTACAATTGATTTGATAGTGTTCATCTAAACTTGTCATCCAATTTGATAACTTTGTTTTCTTGAAACTCTTTTTCATTATTAAATATTTCCTTTGCATAAGGAAGAAAATTTTTTAATATGCCATCGCACTAACCAAACATCAAAACATCAATAAAAAATTAATATCACTAAAAGTTGTGCAATCCAATAATCTAAATGGATTTAGAATTAGAAAGACTTTTGCAGTTTGAAAGTGTTTTGCAGTCATTTTAACTGTATATATTACTCTTTATATCTGAGAGGCTGTGAGGATTCCAGACATTGGTGATTATTAGATTGATGAATTTTTGGTATTAAAAGAATTTAATACATAATTAGATGGAAATGTATAGCTGTATAATAGGAAAATATTTTGCTGAATCAATAATTGAATGATGAAGACTTACTTTTACTTTGAATTACTAATATGAAACTTTCTTGTTTCTGTATTTTGAAATTTGTTAACTTTAACTGTTCATTCTTTTCAGGGCATTAAAAAAGTAAATAAGAAGTTAATTTAAATAAGGAAATAGTTATCTTAAAAAAATCTTAATTCTGTTGCTAAAACATTAATTGTAATTGCTTTTGTATAATTTGAGTCTCTTTCAGGACTCAAGAATTTAAATGCAAATGCTTACCACTTAACAATTTTTTTTTTTTTTTTTTTTTTTTTTAAATTTTATTGTGTGTTGCTCCAGATAGCTGTTATTTCAGTGGAACTTGCAGCTACAGTTATTTTTAAAAATATATTCTGATGCAGTAGTTGAGTTGAAGGTAGATTTGGTAATCACATCTCTGTGCATCACAATCACATCCTCTGTAATTCAGTGTGCACAAAATTTTGATCATGCATAAGTATACTATTTGAAACATTTGTGGCTGTTTTTGAGAAATACAAGTTTGTGCCTTTGCATTTACATTTTTATTTCTATAAAACCATGATATTAATGTTTAAATAAAATCTAAAATTTGAAGGTGCATCAGTATTTTGCTCTGCTGTGATAATACTGTTATTTAACTACAAAGGGAAGCACTATTTTATAAGCTCTTAAAAGCTGCAAACATTTTTATAGTTGTTCCAATCTACCGAATGAGAAGAATGGTAGCAAAATAAAGTTTGACAATATCTATTTTTTTTCCCCATTATTATATTTAGTTACCTACACTGGGTTCTCAAGAGGGAGCTTTTGAAAATGTGAGAATGAACTATTCTGGTGACCAGGGGCAAACCATTCGACAATTAATAAGCAGCCATATGATAAGGAGAGTTGCCATGTGCTGTCTAGCATCACCTCAAGGGAAACGTCAGCATTTAGCAGTGAGCCATGAGAAAGGCAAGGTAAGAGGCATCTTAAATTTCATCTTTATTGCCGGCTTAATTTTTAAATGGCTTAAATTTTAAATAGATGACCTTTTGGTAAACAAAATTAAAGTATTATGACAGGGAATTTGATAAAATGAATAGTGTGTTGCAATAATAATAGGATGAATAACAGCATATAAACAATTTATTGTCCTCATTTAAGTGATAAATTATGAAGAAAACTAATTTGAAATTCCATTTCATAGGCTAATGTTAGTTGTGGTTCTGTGCATCTGACATCCAGTCTCATTTCTTTGCCTCGCGCTACATATTGTTGCATTCTATGGGTTCATGGATTTGGAGCGATTGATGACAACACTTAATGAAGAATCAAACCACATTTTATTTGTCAGTATTACACAGGACAGTTCCAAAGTCATATTATTGTCGGCAAAAAACTATGAAACTATCAGCAACACAGCCATCAAGCTATAATAACAATGAGGACAACTTCACAGCAAAGCAATAAAATACAGCTTCCGACTTGGTTCGGTCGCTTTCAAGCTAATCTCTGAACTCGAAGCACTACTACTGAATTCAACATACTTTTCTACTTTACGTACAGGCAGATTGTATATAGCTTTTACATACCTACTTCATTCTTAACCATATTGTCATTATATATTTTGACAGCTGACATTTTAAGGCTTAATTGTAAAAAAAAAGTTGCTTAATTCTGTGTCATTTTTTGTGAAGGGGGGATTAGGGAGCATGAAATATGGAAAGTTTAAAATCAGCATTTTCATCATATTTTCCATTTTATGACTGAAAAGGTAAGAATACTCTACAGATAAAAATAAAAATTGTACCATGAATGTAGAAAAAGTGGGTTGACACCTGTGCAAAAAGTGGTTTGCAAAATGTCTTTCCAGCAATTTTGACATTGAACATTTTTATATTAAGGGTACTGATTGAAACAAACTGCCAAATAACAACAGGATAAATCATCAAGGATTACATATGTCAAAATTAACTGTTTATAATCACATAAAAAATGACTTGTGTCATTCATTTCAAAGCTTGATATATTGGTTCCACATGTTTGCCATCTGTGATTAGATATTTATTGTAAATATATTGCTGCAAAAATTTGAAAATTCTAGTTATTTAATGTTCGAGTTTACATTATTTTCATTGTCATTAAAAATGAATATGAATAAGGAAGGAAATCTATAAACTCAACTAATTATTTTAATATGTGACATAAAGCTAAGTATATGAGAACTGAAGATACAAAATTGATTAAGTTTTATATGTAATTTTCAAAAATAAATTAGCTCAGTTAGGAATGCTCAGTAAGAATGCATTAAATATTTTTAAAAATATTGTCCAATTGTGAAACGAATCATAACTCACAATGAGAAATTCACTGTTTGCAACGATGTCAAAGCAAGCAGCCTTAGAACAGAAGAGATGAGCCAATTCAAAGCACTTCTAAAGCTATGTTTGAAAATCAAAACAAAAAAAATTCTTTGTTTGCTGAGTTATTAAAGGATTTATATTTTTTAACCTTCTACCAGACAGTTCCACAATTGATTAAAAAGTGTACTGCCATCAGTTGGACAAATTGAGTGATACCAGTAAACAGAAAAAGTGTTCACTGTGATAATACCTTATCTGACAAAAAGTTAGTTGTCAGTAACTTTATTATAGCTTAGATGTGATGTGCTACCACATCCACAATGTTCACAATATCCGGCATCATCAGATTATCACTTGTAATGGTCTTTACAAAATTATTTAAATGGTGAAACACTTACTTCAAATGAAGATATCAAACACAGTTTTTGTAAGAAGAGATCATAGCTTTTCTAAGTGCAGAATAATGATACTACCAGAAAAAATAGCAAAAGGTGTTGGACCAGAATGCCCAGTATATAATTCAATAAAATATTCATATACTATAAAAAACTGAAATTATTTTCTTAACGTCCAATGCATAACTTCAACAATAGTAGCAATAAATATAGAAAAGGGAAAATGAAGGTTCACCACAACATCAAAGAAGAGTTTGTGATTGAAAAATTTTAAAAACATAAAATGATTACAATATACAAAAATCATTCAGAAAAATTCTACAGTTAATATTACTTAAATAAAAATAATGACTAATAATGGCAAATCAAAAAATAATTTCAGTTAATTTCTGATGTGTGTTTCAGTATCCTAGATTTGAACATCAAATGATGTAAATAAAAATATATCAGAGTATTGCAAAAGCATATTAGTGATTTTCAGTCTAATATATTGTAAAATTTAATCATAACCATTTAATTTGATTTTGGGTGCAGTTGGTGGTGTATACAGAAAAAGAAATTAGAAATTTGCCATTAACTCGTAGGAGTTTTAGTTACAGCATTTATGTTTAAAAATAATGCTTATTGCAAAATATTGTTAAAAAAATCGGGCAAAATAACTTTTAAACTAATTAATTCCTTAATTATTGTTGATAATACTTATCAACTGGGAATTTCGTGAATAATAAAATGGGACGTTTAAATAAAAGATGACTTTTAAACAGAGTTTATGAAAAATGTATGGCATTTTTAAAGCATCGGTTTTGTTTTGCTGAAAAGCAACACTTTTTTTAATATTGAAGGTAAATATCATTTTTATTAGTACAAAATCTGTATCTAACTGGAAGTAATGATTTCTTTTGAAATTGAATAAATTTTAAAAAAAATGTAATAATGAGAAGTTGAAAGATTTAGCATCCATGTTGCAGGCATGCATAGAAAATGTATGTGAAGTGTCTTTCTGAAAATGTGATTATTTGTCACTCATATTTCTAATTAAGATCTTTTGCAGCATATGTAAATGTATAACATCAGTTAACACTCTATGATAGCAATCACCTTTTTTAAATGGTATGGTGCATAATGTCTCTCTAATGTTGTAGTTTGGTAGTGAAGGCAAAAACTTAAAAGTATTTTTCATTGTGTTATAGCACTTATTTTTATTTGGCTTTCGTATGTATTCTGAGTTATTTCTTTTTCTCTGTAAATTTGTATCTTTTCATATGACAAATATTGTGAAGTAAAATTCACTTTTCATGGAAAATAATACTGATTTTTGTGTTTTAACCAGCAGCCGTAAAATTTATATTTTGGAAATGCTTAAAATTAGCTTCCTTATCTTTTCTAGATCACTCTGCTCCAACTCTCGGCTTTACTAAAGCAGGCAGATTCCAGTAAAAGAAAGTTGACATTAACAGTAAGTAATAAGCACAGTCATAAAATATTTTCCATCTTCATTCATTTTTATACACTTCATTCACCATCTTCATCTACTGTTTTTTACTTTTGAGCTTAGAAGTATGTTGGAGTTAAAGTATTTGTAGTTAAAATAATTGAACAAATATTTTGATTTAATATTTGATAAACAATTGAGTTTTTCTAAAAAAGACTGTGAATCTATCTATTTGTGATACATTTTACTGTAATAAAATTAATATCAAGAATTGAATGATACAAATAACAATTAAATTTTGGTAATAATTATAACATGTCTTTATCTTTGGATTATTAAAGGTGTTTGTGTGCCTCTTCCCCCCCAAAAAATAAGGGTATTTAGTTTTCATTTTAACTATTTTAGCATTATATTCTGAAATTTTTATTGCTTTGATTTGTAGTCTTTTATGTCACAACTATTTTTTAAGAAAGTTGCAAATTTTTTAAAAAATGCATTTTCTAACATTTTTCATTTTATGTAAACATTTCTTATTTTACTTATAATGAGAGTAACAATTTAAAGTATGAATTTCCATTATTCTTTTTCTGAACTTTAAGTTAATTTTCTAAGCCTTTGTTTCAATTACTAAATTTTTTCATAAATGCACAAAAACATCAACTAATTTTTTCGTGTTCAGTTATTTTTACTTTTATTACGATTTATATGACAAAAATAATGCAAAGTAAGCCTGCCATGAAACCAAAGTCTATGGCTCAGTTCCATTGAAGCACTTTCAATGCAATTTCTCGTTTTTGATGTATTTTGTTTTCTGCCTTGTAGTTTCAAGTTTAAAGCACTTAGATGAGACGTTAAATCTATCAGAAAAGCAAGATTATTTAAAAACTGGATTTCTTCCAATTTTTCTTGATACCCATGCCCAGTGTTTTCTTTTTTGAGGAAAGCAAGAATTTCATTCCTCAACCTAAAAAACTGTTCCAGACAATTTCTAGCACTTAGCAGCGCAGTTGATAGTACAATGAAATGTCACCATACTCAGCATCCAAATTGTCCACAAATGCAATAAATGCTCTGTCTCTCTGTGCTTTGCCTCGTTAAATTTACAGTATTTACAACAGTTTTCATTGTGTCACTGAGCCTTGCAGAGAGCGTCCTGATGGATAATGCAGTGGAAAAACAAACAATCTATTCCTTTTTCTTTACACGGACCTACTAACTAAGCTCTATGACCAACCGTTGCTCTATCTGTTGCAGTGCCAGAGTACTTCCCAAAAACTCCATATTTAGAAATGGCATTATTCAAAGCGTTGAATATACGAGTATCAATACCTTTGGTGCTAGTTTCTAATGGTTTTAATTCCAGCAGATCTTCATGAATTTCAAATTCTTCATTTATTGTTTTATCGAAGATAGGAGCTGGCTGATGTCAGCTATATCTGTGCTGACATCTAGAGTTTGAGAGTGAAATTCACATTTTCCCAAAATGCCCGTGAGAGCATCTGAAACTTCACTACTTATATCATTAATTCTTCTACTTTCTATCTGATGGGACAACGACACTGTTTCGAAATTTCTAGCTATCTTATTATGCCCAAATGAAGATGATATTTTTATAGCACATCTTTTGATAAACTCATTATCCCTAAAAGACTTTATACTTTTAGCTAAATCTAAGCATACCTCATAAGATGCCTTCAGATCAGCAGTGTTTGATGTTCACTGAAAGATAGTTAGTTTCTTCTGTGTTGTTAGTTTCAGCTTCAAATTATTAAACAAATAACTCCTGCACTTCCGTGGTAATGGTTGTATTTTGATTTATGCAAACTGGTGTAATGTCTCCTCACATTATACTCCTTTGGAACACTGAAGACTTGAGAACAGATAACACACTGTGGTTTTCCATTATGTTCAACAAAAAAGTAACTTTCCTGCCACTTGGATTGAAATGGTCGTTTTTCATTTTCAATTTGTAGTTTTTTTAGTTCCACCATTTTAGGTAGTACTGAATGAAAGTGAAAATGGAAGCATATACGCCACGGAGTATAATGGTCGTAGAATGAAGCTTATCATCAAAGTTACATGACTATTCTTAACTTCACCTGCAAGACTGCACTGGGATCTACAAAACACTAAAAGCTTTCTCTGCGCGATCTCCCCCATTGGCACACTGAGTCATGTAACATGTAACCCTGCATACTCCGAACTGACTTTCATTAAGATCCACCATTCAAGATTGACTGCTTGCCGAACAGTGCTCCTGCCCATTTTCTCCTGGTAATAAATGGTTACCCTTTTTTCTTTTTTCTCCTTCATGCTTCCGTTCTCATGGTCGTCACCACGCCAATTCTAGCAAAGTGCAAAATAAAGGCAATATTCCAAAAGAGCTGATGAGATTGCGCTTGCACGATAAATCAGATATAATTCAAGCCTTATTATTGAGGTGGCTTTTATAAAAGGAATGAATACTACCACCTTTAAGAATCAAAGAAATTGTCATCTGATGGATATCTTTGAAAATGTTTCCCACTAAATGTGTTTATATATATATATATAATTTTATTCCCTGCAGTGCAGGTTCGCCAGCTGGTTCGCATCCTAGCGACTGTTTTACACAAATACAATTTATTCTGTTTATTATTATTTAAAGCATTAAGAAGAGTCTTTTGTTTTTCTAAATGTTTAACTAACATTTTTTCCCAGTAAGAAGGACAAGTGCCAACAAAATAAGAGGATTGCGGGTTGGACCATGTTGGGCTACACAATTGGGTGCCCTTTTTTATAGAAATTTAGTATGTTTCATATTTATGTTTCATTATTTGACTGCCCACGTGCTGTGCACTAACTTGCCCCCTGCTAAGATTGGCTCTGCCTCTCACCCTAATTTTGATTGTACCTTCCTTCTCTTTTTTAGCGTTTAGCATCAGCTCCTGTACCATTCATGGTTTTATCTATTACTGGAAATCCTTATAATGAAGACTTTTTAGCAGTATGTGGCTTAAAAGTAAGTTTCTTTCTACTTCCTTAAACTAAGTCTTTAAATTACTTGCCATATAATGTTAGAAATATATGTTTTATTGAAAGTAAACTACATTTTATTTATTCTCAGGATTGCCATATTTTGACATTTAGCGGATCAGGTTCTGTTTCGGATCATCTCGTATTGCATCCACAATTGGAATCAGGAAATTATATCATCAAAGTGAGTTTTTTTTTAAAGTTTTTTAAAGTTATTATAGGTATTAAAAAGCATGAAACTTGCAAGAATTTTTTACTATTATATATCTGTATTTCATTTTATAGGCTATGTGGTTGCCTGGATCCCAAACTGAACTAGCACTTGTAACAGCAGACATGGTTAAAATATATGACTTGTCCCAAGATGCTCTGAGTCCACAATTTTTCTTCTTGTTGCCAAGCGAAAAAATCCGTGATTGCTGTTTTGTATTTTCTGATGATGGCCAGCGGCATTTAGTTTTAATGTCATCTGCAGGTCACATATATTACCAACCTATGGTTGAAGAGAGTTGTGCAAAACATGGTCCCTTTTATGTCACTAACATTTTGGAAACAAAGCATCCAGAACTGAAGGTATTTATAAATTCTGACTAAAATTTAAAAACTACAAAAAGTATGAATTTTTTTCACTTTCAGTGGTTTTTAAATTTTGCTAATGTTTATAACATGTCTACTTGAATCATTCTTCCTTCCCAGAATCAGAAGCCAGAACTAAAATATTACAGTGCAGTCTGCATTTTATTTTAAGATGTCTTTGAAGTTGTAATATAAAATGTTGCATTTAATAATAATGCAATATGGCGTTTAAAGAATGAAACTTTTCTTGATGGTAAAGGTTGTAGAACTTATGTTGATGTATATTACTTGAAATGTGCTCACGCACTTGGGATAATGCAGTAGGTGGCTCTCATAAGGACAAATCTGAAGAGTAAGGAAAATGGTTGAGTATACACATACATTTTTATGCTAAAACATTATTATACTCATATTCAAAGGTGCATTGCATAAACAGTAAAATTTTAATGGTTTCTAAATAAATGATATGAAATGCAATATTCACATTCTTTTGCTTCTTACCTATTTTAACGTATACTGTAAAATGTTTATGAAATGAAATTCTCAGATAGTGCACTAAATATAAAACATCATACTATGTAAGTGTAGTGCAATTCATATTAATTAGTAGCTACTATGTGTTTAACGAAATAATAGCTTTAATTTTGTCTTTGTTCGTTAAACAGCAAACGATTTGCTGTACATTATTTTGTACAAGGAATATTTATTGTAAGAAATTGGTAAAATCTGCTGTTTGATAGTATGAGCATAAATCATATTGGTAATTATTACCAGCTCTTATTTAATAACCTTAAAGAGAGATGTGGTCTGCCCTCTCTGCCTTTACTATGGTAATAAGGCTTAAGATTTCAGTCTTCAGACTTTGAAAAAGTATGAAGAAAGTAAGAATTTAATATGTGCTGGATAAAAATAATTCATCTAAGTATATATTTCTTTCTTTATTTATTTTTTAAAAAAAAATTGTTTATTTTTAAGGTTGATACATACTGAGTTAATTGGGATCCATCAAACAATAGTTGCATGAGTTGTGTTCATATGATATTCAAATTTGTCCTGTAATTCCTATAGTATGTCTTTTACAACTAACTTCATAACAATTGGATTCTAATCAGTTTCAACAGAGTAATCAGTATATCTGTATGTGTGCCAACCCTTGCATTTTTAATTGCCCCAAAGTTGACCACATTATAGTATATTCAGTGTAACTGAATGATGCTTTGATTTGTAACATGAAGAGGACAATTAAGTTTTGTATTCATAACTAAAACAGTTATAATAAACAGAATTTATTTAGGTGTATTTATTAGTATATTTGGTGTATTAAAAAGCAAAATCAACTATGCTACCAAATCAAATTTCATTTAATGAGGGATGTGCACCTCTTTGACCTTCATACAAGCACAAAGACATTCCATACCTTCAATTCAGTTTTCAAATGCTTTAGGGAGCAATAATTGCTTTTCCACTCTTAGGGCTGTGTTCAGCTCTTTGAGATTATTTAGACTACATTCAGAGGCTAAGAATGCATATCCAAATTTTATAGGTTTGCACTAGTGTTGAGGTCAAGTGAGCATGTGGCCACTTCATTAACACTTTCTCTGTCGAGACGCACATCCACTAGATTTGTTATATGTGGACATGTGTCACCTATAAAAATAAATGCCGTTTCAATGGCTGTCACATATGATCTTACAGCGGGGTCAAGGACTTCATCCTGCTGTTTTTTAGTCATAATATTTCTTGTTAAGACATGCAGATCAGTGCAGTAGCTCAAAAGCCTGGTTAGTCCATTGTACTGCCATTACTGAAGATAGATATTTGAAGAATTACTGTGTTTATTTTTCCCCCTCTAGATTGTAGCATTCTTATCAATATCCTAGCACAGATCTTGGTTCATTCATGAGCAGTATGTTATCTCGAAACAAATCAGCTGATTTCCAATTTGCATGTTGACAACTCCAAACATGCTCTGACTTTGCTTAAAGGAGCATAGAGTTGCAGTCCTTTCTTGCTTAGTTTTCACTGCACAGTAGTTGCAGATATCAGTCTTCCAATTGTTATCGTAACCACTCTGTTGAAGTCAACATGGTTGCTTGTCAACTATGATTACCTAACAAAGCCATATATTTATCATAAGAGGCTATGATAGACTGTGGCTTATGAGAAACAGGTCTTAAGACATTCATTTTAAATTGTTTCTGAAAGCGAAAAATCATACAGTTATCAACACCAAAGAAAATAATGACATCTTTAATAGATTGACCTGTTTTATGCCAACCAACAGCATAGCAGCTGTTGAGAATTATTCAGTCATCTTATCTTATAAAAGAGTAATCAGAATCACCTCCCAGATTTTCTGTCAGAAATTGCTCTTCTACTTATAGATTTAAAAAAAAAAAAAAAAAAAAAATGCGTACTTAAGGAGAAGAAATCCTACTTGATTATATACTGTGTGCATATCCCACATTTGCAAAGACTTTAGGCAGTGAAATTTAAATTCATACTCTGATGCTTAAAACTGCACTATATGCTTACACTCCCTTTTGAGGAGGGCACATTATGTAATTCATGATAAAGGAAGTACCAGTACAAGCATGGATTGATTTTTAATATTTTCCCAAAATTCCTTGTGAGAAAATAAGGGAAGCTATATTGAATATTGTCTAATGTGAAGCAAAATTTGAGTAATTTTTCTTATATTTTTACTAGTTGTACAACTGGCTGTTTGTTCTGTAGTTATATAAATGCCAAAAGTATAGTTTTGCAGAATTGGATAAATTATTTTAAGTAATAAGAAATTTTGTTTTTTTTTAACTTGTTATTAAACTTTTTTAATTAAATCTGTTATTTTAAATTTATTTTATGAAGCAAATTTTTGTTTTACAAGCAAAATTTAAAGTATATACTAAATACTTTTCATTCTTCCCTCTCTTTCTAGGATTCGAATGGCATGATCGGTGGAGGAGGTGTTTCGATTTATTATTCACACACGCTGCAACTTCTGTTCTTCAGTTATACCCAAGGAAAAAGCTTTATAGCACCTTTATCAAGAATGTCATCACAACTATCCCAGATGTTTTTAATTCAAATGAAAAATAACAGCAATAATGGAAATAATAGTGGAAATAGTAAACCAAGTCCACAGCCACTATGTCAATGGTCTGAAGTTGCCAATCACCCAGGGCTGATATTGGCTCAGATGCAAGCTTCTAATAATCCTGTTATATTAATGGTGAAGCCAGATACAGTACTAGTGCAAGAAATTAAATTTCTAACCGCAAAGTCAAAAATAACAGATATGGTGGCTATTAGGCATGTAATCACTTGTGGTGAACTTCGAACCACATTAATTCTTTTATGTGAGGATGGAAGCCTTCGCATTTATATGGCTAATCAAGATCAGACAAATTACTGGTTAACACCAGCATTTCAGCCAGCATCTGTCTCAAGTTCATCCAAGCCATCGAAGAAAAAGAAAGCTGCTAAAAGTGGCCGCCCTGTTGGTAGCATAACATTTCCTGTTGACTTTTTTGAGCACTGCACAGCAATGAATGATATTGAATTTGGTGGAAATGATGTTCTTCAAGTTTACAACACACAGCAGATTAAACATCGCTTAAATACTACTGGATTGTATATTGCTAGCACAAAAGCAGCAGGATTTGCAATAGAAGTTAACAATTCAGATAACTCTATGGTGATGGTAGGATGTCGTATCCTTGTTGGCAATCAAGATATTCAAAGAGCTCCTTCCTATATTGAAATTTTTGGACGTAGTATCCAAGTAAATTTAACAAGGAATCGTTGGTATGATTTTCCATTTTCACGTGAAGAATCATTAACTGCTGATAAAAAATTGACAATATTTTTTGGGGCAAGTTCTGATCCTTCTGGTGTGACTATGGTTGATTCTATTAAAATTTTTGGCAAAACAAAAGAGGCATTTGGATGGCCAGAAGATAATGATGATTTCCCAACCCAGACAGCTTCTGGAACTGCTGGTACATCTGGTACTGAAGCTGGAGTAGAAGTTGATGGTATCCCTGCTGCGCCATTGCCACTTACTCCATTGGATAGGCTTGTCAGTAGCAGTTTAGAACTTTTAGATGGATGTTTCTCAGCTGGATTAAGTTCTGATGATAAACAACAATTAAAAAATAATGCCATTGATTTATCCACAACAATGTTGACTTTACCTACTCCCCCTGTGGTGCATGAACATGTAAAAACATTATTAGCAACACTTCACAACAGTAGAAATGCATATTGCTCTCATAAAGATGAAGCACTTTTGAATTATGTTCTCCATTGTTTAAATGCTAGTCAGGATGGTAAACCAACAGATGAACTTGACGGTGAAGCTCTTTATCGTTTAGTTGCTATTACAAGAGGTGTAGCTGTTGCTAGACCTGCAAATTTGGTACGATTTGCTGAAAGTCATGATGGAATGATAATAACCGATTCCACAGCTCTTGATTCTGATCAAAGTTCATTCAAATTGAGCCAAGATATTGAAGAAAATAGTTCAAGTTCTCAGCAAAGTGAAAGACAAAGATCGGGTAGTTTAGACAGCCCTCAAAAAGTAGAATTTTCAGGATCTGCGCATTTTATTATTCAACTTACTGATGCATTTTGGCATTTACATGCTATGCAACCTTCTAATCCAGCCATTGCTCCTGTATCCTTCCGTGGACTTGTTCATGTTGAAGCAACTGTTCATGCTTTAGTTGAAGTAATTCATGCTTTTACTGCATGTGATCTTGAACATGTTTCTTTGGCTACTAAGCTTTATGTAAAATTACTTCTTTGTGAGGACACTGTTGTAAGCTTTGCTGCTAAACAAGCTTTGATTCGTGTCTTGAGACCACGTGTAAGGAGACGAAAGGTTTTTATTCCTTCTCCAGCACATTGCAGTATGCCTGGTGAAGTCCTCCATGAAGCAGAAAGTTCTGAAAACAGAGCTCATCCCCAACCTCAAGTTCCGTCTCAGTCAGCAGCTCCAGTATCAAATCAAGCTCAAGCTCAAGTACCTCCTCAACCTGAAATGCATGATTTCCATCAAGATCTTGAGCAATTTGAAATAGTTGATGGCTTGGACCCTCTTGTTCTTCTTCCAGCAGATGGTGCTGGTGGCGGTGTACCTAACCTTGAAGCCCTTATTGCCAGTCAAGGAGGTTTTCCAATGTTAGACATACCTCCTGATGATGATGAAACAATGGTTGAGCTTGCTATAGCTTTAAGTCTGCAAGATCAGCCTGAAGTTCAGTCAGGGGGCTTATCATTGCAGGCTTTATCACTTGCTTCCCAAGGTTCACATCATACATCTTCTCTAGAAGGTGGTCATTATTCTGATACAACTGCTTCTGCTGGAGCTAGTGATGATGAAGGCAGCACTGCTGCTACTGATGGGTCAACGCTGCGCACTTCTCCTGCGGAACAAGGTGGCAGTGCTGGCTCTGAAAGTGGTGGCAGCGGAGTTGAATCAATTATGGGAGAACATAATGTAAGTGGACGCAGTAGTGCTTATGGTGATACTGTACCTGAGAGCATCACTACAGGTGCTAGATCTGAAACTAGTTCTGTTGGTTTACCTAGCTCAACTATGCCACAGGGTGAAGAAGGACTTGAAATTGAGACTGATATTGACACAAGTTTTCGTCTTCATACCTTGCGTCTTATGCTTCTAGAGAAAATGCTGAACTATTTGCCAGAACTTGGTGAAGTTGGAGGAGTGAGAGCCATTCCTTTCATGCAAGTTATTTTAATGCTTACTTCTGATCTTGTAGGTGAAGAGGAAAAAGACTGTGCAGCATTAGCAAAGCTTCTTCCTGCATTAATATCTGCTTTAGATATGAATAGCAAAGACCTGTCAAAAATTGCTGAAAGAACTCCAGCAAGAGAAGTTAATCTAATTGTCATGAGACTGCTAAGCATTATGATGTCAAGAGTTAAAGGCTCTCTGAAGACTAGTGCCGGAGAATCTTCAACATTCTGTAGTAGTGCTACAGCTTTGGCTTTAGTGTCTGCTAATGCTATCGATTACTGCCTGCAAGTATTAAAAGTTTTGTTAGGCTATTGGAAGAGCATACAGACTGAAGATAAGTCATCCAGTATAACAGGAAATTTACTGAAATCCCACCCTCTCTCACCACCTCCTGATATGTCACCGTTCTTCTTAAAACAGTATGTAAAAGGACATGCTAATGATGTGTTCGAAGCTTACCCTCAGCTTTTGACTGAAATGGTGTTACGACTTCCTTATCAAATTAAGAAGATTTTAAATTTAATGCCTGGATCTCAGCCTGTTGTATTTTCACAGTCTTGGTTTCTGTACTTGTGTGATTATATGATGATGCAACAAACACCATTTGTACGGCGGCAAGTAAGAAAATTACTTCTATACATTTGTGGTTCTAAAGATAAATATCGCCAACTTAGAGATTTCCATGCTCTTGAATCTCACATGGAAGATGTGAAAATGATCTGCAATCAAGGAGGTTATGAAGATTTCTCTCCTAGTAACACAATGCTCAGTCTCTCTTATGACTCATTAATCAATATGATTGAACATTTGAAAGCTTGCAGTGATATTGCTACATCCCGAACTGTTAATTGGCAGAAATTTTGCCAGAAAGATGAAAGTATTCTATCATTTTTGATTCATGTTAGTTTTTTGTTAGATGAAGGTGTATCTCCAATTATTCTGCAACTTCTGCAGTGTGCTTTGTGTGGTTCGAAAGCAATTCAGCAGCAACAACTGACTGGTAATTCCACTCCTCAAGTAACAACTTCCCCATCCAAGCAGCGCAAAGAAAAAGATAAAGCTGATACTGAAGATGAGTTGAGTGAATCAAGCAAAAGTGATACTGCTCTTTGTATGGCTTTGGCACAGCAAGTAAATAAATTTGTAGACAAAAGTTTGATGAGTTATTTTATATGTGCCTTCTTGCTAGAATCAAATTCTACATCTGTGAGGTGGCAAGCTCATTCCTTAATATTTCATCTCCACAAGAATTCTAATTCTTCCCAGCAGGAAATTTTATTAGACATGATGTGGAAATTGTGGCCCAAGCTTCCAACATTTGGTCGTCGAGCTGCACAGTTTGTAGATTTATTGGGTTATTTTACTTTAAATATGCCTCAACAAGATAAAGAAAAAGAATATATTGAAAAAGCTCTTGATATTTTACATCAGCAAAACCAGCTGCTGATGAATCATCCTAACTCAAATATTTATAACTCGCTGCAAGGTTTGGTGGAGTTTGATGGGTACTACTTGGAAAGTGAACCGTGTTTAGTATGCAACAACCCTGAAGTTCCTTATACTAATATCAAATTATCAGCAATTAAGGTAGATTCTCGATTCACTACTACTACACAGATTGTAAAATTAATTGGTAGTCATACCATTTCTAAAATTACTCTTCGTATTGGTGACTTAAAGCGCAATAAAATGGTCCATACACTGAATATTTATTACAATAATAGATCTGTTCAATCTGTTGTAGAATTGAAGAATAGGCCATCTATTTGGAATAAAGCAAAGAAATGCACCTTGGCCGCTGGTCAAACTGAATTAAAAATTGAGTTTCCACTTCCCATTGTCGCTTGTAATCTAATGATCGAATATGCTGACTTTTACGAAAATATTCAAGCATCTTCTGAAACTCTGCAGTGTCCAAGGTGCAGTGCATCTGTTCCTGCAAATCCTGGTGTGTGCTCAAATTGTGGAGAAAATGTATTTCAGTGTCACAAATGCCGAGCCATAAATTATGATGAAAAGGATCCTTTCTTATGCAATTCATGTGGTTTTTGCAAATATGCCAAATTTGATTACACTATAACAGCAAAACCTTGCTGTGCTGTTGATCCCATCGAAAATGAAGAAGACCGTAAAAAAGCTATTAGTACTATAAATAGTTTGCTGGAGAAGGCTGATCGAGTTTACAAGCAGCTTATTGCAAATAAACCAGCTCTGGAGATTCTTTTGTTACGCATATATGAGCATGGTTTGCTCGAAAAGACTCTTGATGAAAATGGAGGATCTAGTTCTACTACAGCTTCAGTTTCATCTACTAATGTAAACCGAGCCATTCAACAACTTGCTCAACGATACTGTGCAGACTGCAAAGCTTCATTTGATGAGTTAAGCAAAATAGTTCAAAAAGTAAGAATAATTTCATTATAACTAATGCAATTATTTTTTTTATACATTTTAAGGCAACAAGTAATTCTGGCATAGTTTCCTTTGGCTATATTTTAAATTTTTTAAAAGTATAAAAGAATTCATGTTGTAGTGTAGATCGGTGTTCGATCTTGTGCATAAATTTTAATTTATGTTTGTTTTAATAGTCACATAACACAGAAATAGTTATACTTTTTTGGGGGGCTTGTCAGACTGCTAGTTTTGTAATGTCATTTAATAGAAACCATTAAAAAAAATTAATTTGATAAAAAAAGCATAAGCTGTTTTTAGATTATTTTCCTGAGATCAGATATTATTTGCAATAGAGCAATTAAAACAGACTTTGAAAATATATATTATTCTGATAAGTAAATTAATATTAAAGTGATTATTAATTCTCATTAAAGAGCAAAAACATTTTTGCTTACATTTGCAGTATACAGATGGCGGTTGGTTTATATCCAATCTGTGTGCTTCTGTGAATCATATTGGTGTTTTAGGCAATACACAGGACTAGAAATTACTCATACTAAATGCGCCAAGTCCAATCCATTTCTATCAAAACCCAGTTAAGGTCTTATAAATTATTTTATTGCAGACTGAATCTTGATAGAAAAAAAGAACTGGATTCCATTCAACATACTTTCAACAATGATGTTCCTCAAACAAGTTCAGATATATATGCTGTCGTGAATAAAAGGAGGTGCAGCATTGGTTTTTTGCCCAGATCTTGGTGATAATTTGAATTGCCATCCCCCGGTAGCCTTGAATAATTCTTGGCAAAGTTTAGCAATATGTTTCTGCATATAAAGCTGCATGCAAAAATAAATAACAGTTGTCTCTTTTGATGTATTAGCTTTTGAAGGAATGTGAACTCGCTCGCTTCCAGAGTTTCATGCTTTTTAACATCACTCTTGGGAAAATAGCACTTAGTGAGAGCTCAATGGTGTGTGCCATTAGCAGCTGCATCTAATGGTCCAATCTGATGGTACATTTTTAATAAACCATGGTGTTAAAATATTATTTAAAATACAAGCAGAGAAAATATCATAATGAATGTTGCCCTTTCCGCAAAAGAAAGCTAAGAAACATTTATTTTTCAGCCAGTGATATTCAAATGAATATGCCATTAGATACTGATTTGTGTATGGATGTTTATAAATCTGCTGCTAATCCTACTCTTGACCTTTATTTTTCATCATTTGTTAAGATTTAACCATTATTTTGAATGTGAGGTATCACAAAATTTAGTCTTAAAAAGGATGATTTTTACTGCTTCCTTTATTATAACAGTGTATTTTAAATTTAATTAAAATCACAAAAAGAAAATTGAATAATATTTTGTAACATTTGAAAAATAAATTATTTGTATCTCAATTGTTTTCTTAACATTTAAATATTTATCAAGAAGGGAAAAAATGTCATTATTTTCCGTTGTATATTGAAGCATGCAAATTTATATTTGAATGAGCATTACTACTAAATATACACATGTTAGGTAGTTTATAGAAAAATATTTAATTTTAATATGTGTTAATAATAATTTTATGTTTTTATGTAGTTTTCATAAATGTCACTAAAATATGAATTACTTTTATGTTCTTACATATTTTATTTCATCCATAATTTACATTGAAATTTTACCTGTCCTTTCTGTTAAAATTCTTTACAAATTTCAGTTAGAATACTTTTTTGGGGTATTGTAGGTTCTTGCATCACGAAAGGAGCTGGTGGATTATGAGCGACGACAGCGTGAAACCAGATCAAAAACATCACCAGCATCTCAAGGTACTCAAGAAAGTGTATTGTTAAAGCGTCAAACTCCAGATGAGCCTAAAAGTCCTACTTTAGCTGTAAATGCTCCCGGAAAATGTTATGGATGTGCGAGTTCTGCTGTTGAACACTGTGTCACTTTATTACGAGCATTATCTACTAATACAAGATACAGATTAATTTTATGTAGTCAAGGGTTAATTCATGAGCTAGTGGCATATAACTTAAGACATGGAAGTGTTCGTGTAAGGCATGATGTTAGACAACTGTTATGTTCACTTACCAGAGATAATGCTCGTGCTACTTCAGATTTAAATGCACTGCTGATGGAAAAGATCGCAACTGCTTTGAAAGGACATGTAACTAGCCCAGATTTGGCAGCAGCTGTGCGTCATGAAGTGGCTCTTTTAGCTAGCAGCCTTCAGAAAGAAGATTCATGTTGGGAACAGAGATTAAGGTATTGATTCCATATAATTTTATTTTGTGTGTTTATGTAGTATACGAGTAGCGTAAAACCTCGTATGATGTGGTCAGTCCACCTATGAAAGTATCCAGTATTTCCCCCAAAATAAATAAATATACTTGTATTTAAAATTACCTGTCTAATATGACCATCTCTGCAAAACACTAAAATAATCTGAAACTTAAATGATAGTTACAGAGAAGTTTCATTGTGTGCGTAGTGTCAATCACAGAGATTATGCACAATGGTACAGTGTTTTCTGGCTTTTTATCTAGTTTTCTAATATTAGCACTTAGCTAGGATTTGTTGAGTAAGGACAATGTGAGTACAATGTTGCTTAATCTTGTAAGTGGGAAACAATAATTTCCTTTTTGGCCTATCATCAATGTTATTGCAAGGATAGCTTTGTTTTCATTTGTAATGTAATACAAATTTTCAATGTTAGAAACATTTTCAGTTCAGTTTTCCCTAAAAGATTGTGTTTCAGTACTTCATTTTGTAATGCATATGGTATCCGTATACCTTGTCAATTGTTGTTACTTCAAGAAATTTAAAGTAGCTATATGTGTGGCCTTTTGCCTAACCACTTTTGAAAAGTGATGCCAGTTGGTAAAGCATAAGATTTTTAATAACCTTCCAAATTTAATCAGTCCAGCTGAGCAATTTAAAGCAGTAAATATAAATCTTAATATTTAAATCTGTATTCTTTTATATCCAATTTTTGGTGCTAACCAGAAAAAATGTTATATCATATGCTATAATTATGTATCTAAATGCAGAATCATTTTGTTTTTATTTTGTTTCTATAAGATTATTAATTCATGGTTAAAAAAATGAGAATGACTGCAATAAATGTTCCTTTGAATAATGTTGAAAAACCATATTATAAATCAGTATAAATAAGAGTAATAACATAGTATTTACATGGCTTTGATAAATTTATAATCTGAAATGCATAATTTCTAGCATATATCACTTTAATTATGCCTCGTTTTGTGTGCACGTATGTGTGTTATCAGATTTCATGTTTTTGTGCATCAAGTATTTTAATGCATATAATGTTTTTTGTAGATGTGTTATGAAAACTCTTCCTTATGGGTGTTAATGCGAAAAGTTCTGTAGTGATGGAAAGCATTACACTGCCTTGTCTGAGGATATTGCAAGTCCTTATCAAACCAGAGTCGTTCATGAGCAAGAAAAACAAGGATAAAAGTGTTGAATCACTTGCCACCATCAACATAGCAGGTTAGAATGACATTTAATAATAAATATTTCTAAAATCTTCTTCAGTGCATGTGTTTCTGATTTTTCTTTTTTTCTGATTCTTAGAGATTTTATTAAATATTAAACTTTCTAATTTTGTTATTTTTATGACTGAAAATTGTCAGTAGCATTGGTTGTAATTTTTCTCGTTTTCTAATAGCCATCATACTAAGTTGGAAATTCATGGATTGTGACCAAAGCATAATAAAATTTGCTGATAGGAAACCAGATTAGATATTTAGTTTTATGAATGAAGTTTTTTAAACAATCTAAGCTTGGGGTTATAATCTCTTATTAATTTGTAATATGCAAACTATTTTCCATTGTTCCTAATGGGTTTTCTGTAATTGTGAGTGATTTTTATTCTTCATTATGGCATTACAGATAAGCCAAAACCTGCTGTGGAAAATGCAAAGTTTGAATTGCTTGACTGCTATATGTACGTAAATAATCAAAACTACTGATTTTGCTGATGTCACAATTGATATATCATATTGAATGCAGTGGTTCTGCTGACATCACATACACATGTTATGTAAGCTATCTCTATCAGTACTGCTTGTTAAAGTTGTGAATATGTGTATATGATTTGCACATGTAGTTTTATTAAAACAATTTGTAATAATAAAAATATTCGTTATGACACTTTCAAAGAGGCAGACATTTGTTGAAAATGCATAGTTTGGCAATGTTTACTTGCTTTGGAATTTTCAGTTAGTCATCTTGGGTGAACAATTGCAACTTTAATCGCTGTTTGTGATTATGATGACTGTAGCTGGCATATTCAATCTGATCCAGTTAACTTCCAAATTATCTGAATTGGATTAGTGTTAAACAACTTGATTTTCTTAATCTGTCCATGAATTTAACTATTTGAGAAGTCTTAGTTATTGTCCAGACCGTATGATGATACTGTGATATAAATACTGTATCTAGCAATGATTCAGTCTTCCTGTCTAAATCTCAAAGCAAGTATAAGTAATATATAAGAATCATCAAGTTCTCAAACTTGAAAACTTTAATTCATATTTAGCCTTTTTGGGCATAACACATGAACCCTTTAAAGGTGTTATTAAAGGCTATTACTGTTTGAGAAAGTTTTGCACCTGAAGAATTTCGTGATCATAACACTTTTTCTTGATGCCTTCTATGGTTTTCAAGAACATTTTGGGGATGAAAATGCTTCTTCCTTACCCTTCATTGTATAGATGGGAAGATGATCATTGTATGCTATTATGTTTGCCCTTTTAAATACCAATTAATAAGCTGCATAGGAATTTTCATGATTTACCCCTTACTATCATCAGTACAAACTAGTTTTCCATAAAAAGTCCTTCAGAACTGCATTCCTTCCCTCAGCAAGTAACACTGACATGCTTTCTTATAATCCAAATAAATTTAAAAAATAAACCTGCTTGTTCTTCTACAAAATTTCTGAAGCCCAGGAAACAAAGTGAAACTCTAAAATGGATTAACTAAAGAAAAAAAATTTTAGGAATTTTAAGTAAATTTTTAATTATATACACTGTAGAGCCAAAACATTTTGACCACTTACTCAATAATGCATTGCACAGCCTTTGACCTGCAAAACAGCTGCACTTTGCCTTGGAATGGATGCCACAATTTCTTGGTAGATGACTGGAGACAAGTTGTACCAAATGTCTAAGTAGCAGTCACGCAAAGTCAAGATATTCCAACATGGTGGCGTCTGACCTTTGAGCTGCCGCACCGTGGAATCCTGAATGTGCTCTACTGGTCTAAGATCTGGTGAGTTAGATGGCCAAGACATTAATTGGAGTTCATCCTTATTCTCCTAGAACCACTCCAACATAATTCAATCTTTGTGACATAGGGCACTGTCCTGCTGGAAGATTTCAATTCTAGTTGGGAAGACTTATGTCATGTAAAGATGCAAAGGGCGTCCTTTTTCTTTGATGATACATGGATGTCCAACACCTTGGTGTCTGAAACTTTGCTGGTTTCACTGTTATTTATCCACTTTGCATAAACACTAACAACGACAGATCGTGAACATCATGCAGTTTGGATATACTCATTCTGAGTCTTTGGGCCATTACAAGTTGCCTTCTATCAAATTCTGTTAGATCAGTAGCTTTCCCCATCACTTGCAAAAGTAAGTGCAAAAAGGATTTCTTTCCTTCTCTAGCAACAGTTTTTATTTAACTGTTGCTAGAGAACTGTTGCATTCCCACTTAATCACATGCCCTCCGCTCCACACATCATTCAGATGAGATCATTGAAAAATGTGTCGATGGTCTTAACGTTTTAGCTTATCAGTGTATTTTGACAGCACGAGTTAGCAAAGGTTTTAGTGGGTAAAGAAGTTAGGCTGTTTAATAACTTTCTTTAAAAACATTCTGTTATATTTATCAAATAGTAATATAACAAAAGAACAGGTAGTTAATCTTACAGGCTTTTCTTCGAGAAGTTTTAAGTCAATCTGTAGTTATTATTTTAAGTATTTTTATTTTTTTAAACAAGGACATATATTTCCAAAGATTAAAATGTTATAAACAATAGGCATTAAATTATGTAAAATATCAATGACGAATAAAATGCTAAGTAATGTTTGTTGAATGTAAGATCTTTTCACAAAGTTAATATATTTAAGAGACATTTATATCAAGAAATTAATTTCATTTTGAGAATCAGCTCCAAAGCTTACATGTTTCTCATTTTCTCCTTCACAATAATTTTTTTTTCTTTTTTTTTTTTTTTTTTTTTTTTTTTTTTCCATGATATCTTTTAATTTAAGTATAAGATATTGCAAGAGCATAAACTAGTTAGTATAATATAGTTAGCCTTTTTTGTTAAAATGCTATAATTAAAATTAGAAGTGTTTGAGAAGTTAAAAAAAAGCACTTTTGACTTTTTTGAGATGTTCTAACAAGAATAAAACATTTAATTTTGTAATAAAGCAGAACATATTTGAAAAATATCTAATTCTCTATTCTGAATTTTTTTTTTTTTTTTTTTTTTTTTTTCCTAGTATATAGGTCTCTACAAAGTATATATACTCTGATTATGTATGGGGAAAGTTTATTAACAACTTTTCTATGACCACAGGAGCACATGCTTCCTCAGATACAGCCTACTCATTTTATCAGCATATCAGCAGCACCTTGAAGGAGGTTACTGTTCATGCAGTGATACCACCTATCTGTTAAGTGCATTTTTTCACTAAGCAAGTTTTCCTTATGTTCTTGACCTGCAAAATGTATGTTTACTGGAGTTGCTGCATCACTTGATCTTTGCTGTGTTCAAATCATAGTGAGAATCTGTTGACTTTTCAGAATGTACAAAGGCAGATCAAGATTTGTGGACTCTTTAATTCCACTTTCACTCTGTGTAGCAACTTTTTGAGAAACCAGCCAGTATGATTATGCACAGGTGTTTGTTTTAATGTCCATTTCTGAACCTAGTTGATCAGATCAAGGTTTCTGGATTCTTGAATTACACTTTCACTCTGTGCAGCAAATTTTTGAGAAACCAGCCAACATGATAATGCATAGGTGTTTTAATATTCATTTCTGAACCTGAGCCTGTTGCCTAAAATATTCTTAATCAGTCTTTAAATTGCAAACTCATTAGCTACATAATTTTCTTTCAAAAATGTCACATGCTTTGGGAATTGTTGCCACATAAATTTTTTGTAATTCATAATATATTTTTCAATAATACATTCTTTTGTACAGTACCATTACTATTTATTGTGTAATAAATCTACATAACAAATGTGGAAGTTACACTACCA